GAGTGGCAGTTGATAATTTTTTTACATTGTTGGAAAATGTAATAGATAAACATAAACTGACGCCTGAAAGGATCTACAATGTAGACGAAACGGGGATCAGCACTGTTCCAAAAAGTCAATCTAAGATATTGTCAACGAAGGGCCAGAAGCAAGTCGGCTGCCTCTCATCAGCAGAGAGAGGTCAGTTGGTCACTGCTGAAATTTGTTTTAATGCCGTTGGCACCTATGTCCCGCCAATGTTAATATACGCTCGGAAGCGGATGAAAGAAGAACTTCTGGATGATGCTCCGTCAGGGTTTTGGGGTACATGCAGTGACAATGGTTGGATTACAACAAAAATATTTTTTGATTGGTTTAAATCATTTGTGCAGTTTGCACAACCAACAAAAGAAAAGCCTGTATTGCTTCTGTTAGATGGTCACTCTTCACATACCAAAAATATTGACCTGATAGATTATGCAAGAGAAAATAATGTGATTTTACTATGTACACCACCACACTGCACTCACAAATTGCAGCCTTTAGATGTGTCTTTCATGAGACCTTTAAGCACGTACTACAGTGCAGAAGTGAAAAAATGGCTCAGAGATCACCCTGGTCGCGTGGTTACACCATATCAAGTGGCAAAACTTTTTGGACAAGCTTACTTAAAAGCAGCCACAATGTTAACAGCCATAAATGGATTTCGGAAATGTGGTGTATGGCCGCTAGATAAAAATGTATTTACGGATGCTGATTTCATAGCTGCAGAGACGACTAACACAGAAAATCTAGCAAGAGAAGAGCTAAATGTGGAAAATGCTCCATCAACTCAAACATCCGAACCTGCAATCACTGAAGAAAATCTATCGCGGCCATCCCCTTCAGTTCACCTTGACCAAATTTCGTCTGCAACCCAGAAAAATAATGTACCTTCTTCTGCTATTTGTTCTCAGGCTGAAAATGGTCGTGGTTTGTCAGAAAAAACAGAAAACATTATTTCTAATCCAAACTTACAAATTGATAAAAGGAGTGTTCCAGAGCCTCTGATATCCTTAGAAAATGCTGTCCATCCAGTTTTATCTACTGAAAAAGAAGATATTGTTGAACCAGCCACATCTTTTTCGAATAACAATGATGCCCAGGTCTCGTTCAATTCTCAAATTGACATTTCTATGACTACCACGTCTTCTGTTGCAGATGATATTTTCAATAGATATTCTCCCGAGATTATTAATACTAGAAAGAACCCTGAACAAACATTGGCCGAGCAACCTTCGACGTCAACATTTCGAGCTAAAGACAAAACTCCCGAAAGGCAAATAAAAAGAGACACTTCTTTTCTGGTAAGTCCTGAAAATATTATGGCCATACCTAAAGAAGTTAGGACTCAGGAGACAAAGACTAGGAAACGAGGGAAGACTGCAGTAGGGTAGGGCGGGGCTAAAAGGTCCGCGGGTAAAAAGGTCCACCATGCCTATCTCCGAAACTAAGTGCACGTTAGACAACGGAGTGACCGGTGCGTGAAGGGGACGAGGGACGGGTGCGCATGCCGCCCCGCGCAGTGCATTTTCTAGAGCCGGCAAGAGTGTACGCGCAAGTGGTGCGAAAATTACACGTAAGTAATGTTTTAGATTTTACTTAGTTTTAGTCTCATTGTTCGATTTTTAAACTTACGAAACATAATTTCTCTGTATAAATGTTTAGTGGTATTAAGTTTCACGTAGTGCCATTGTTTTTTTGTTTGCATCACCTTGTTTTTCTACATAACCTAAAACAACAGTCCACCTACCATTGGGGCACAAAGGACCGCGGTGGACCTTTAAGCCCCACGAATTATTTTGATTCTATGTATTAATTTCTATTTTATTTTCAGAATGCGGAATTATAAAAAAACCACTGAGCGTGGTACGAAGTCCGTTGAGCTGATGAAGCGAGCGGCTGATTTAGTCGCAAATGAAGATAAATCAATAAGGCAAGTTTGTCGTGACTATGAGATTAGCAGAACTTCATTGAAGAGATTCATGGCGCGGTTAAAGGAAAATCCGGAGTCGCCAAAATTTGGCTACGGCACTCCCAGATTAGTGTTTAACCAAGAACAAGAAACTTCTCTCTGCGAGTATTTACTGACACTTGCACAAATCTTTCACGGTATAGGCCCTAAAGATGTTCGTCGCTTGGCTTATGAATGCGCTGTAAAATATAATTTGAAGATTCCTGAGGTATGGCACACAAATAAGATGGCTGGAAAGGACTGGCTGACGGGATTCTTGTCAAGGAATGACCGTCTCTCTATCAGGAAGCCAGAGGCTACTAGTTTGAGCAGGGCCACCTCTTTCAATCGAACGAACGTTTGTGAATATTTTGATAAATTGGCACACGTGATGGATCGTCACAAATTCAGAGGTTCGTCTATATGGAATGCTGATGAGACTGGTGTCTCGACTGTAAATAAACCTTCAAAAATAATTGCAGCCAAAGGGAAAAGAAACGTCGGGTCTGTCACATCTGCTGAAAGAGGAACTAATGTAACATTGTTGGTAGCTGTTTCGGCAACTGGATCTTCGATACCTCCAATGTTCGTATTTCCAAGAAAGAAATACCAAGATCATTTCGTGCGAGATGGGCCAGCAGAATGTATTGGTGCAGGAAATGCAAGCGGCTGGATGACTGATACGGAATTCTTGCTTTTTATGAAACATTTCATCACTTATGTGAAGCCAACTAAAGAGTCGCCAGTTTTGCTTTTACTAGACAATCACAGTTCGCACTTGTCAGTGGAAGTGTTGGATCTAGCGAAAAATAATGGAGTAGTGATGCTGTCGTATCCTCCTCATTGTTCCCATAAGCTGCAGCCCTTAGACGTGTCTGTTTTCGGGCCGTTTAAAAGGTATTTATCGTCAGCACAAGATTCATGGATGCGTGGCCACCCAGGAAAAACAATGAGCATTTACGATATCCCAGGCATCGTCCGAACAGCTTTACCTTTGGCACTGACTCCCAACAACATCTCGAAAGGGTTTCAAAAAGCTGGGGTTTACCCGTTCAACCGGGAAGTGTTTGATGAGTCGGACTTCGCTCCAAGTTTTGTGACAGACCGACCAAATCCGAACAATCCAACAACGTCTTCTGTACCTAATGAGTCACAGCCGCCTATGTCTACAGAGCCCCAGTTGCCTATTTCTCCAGGTTCACCAAGTTTGTTAATTTCTTCGCAGCCCGAAGTTGTAGCAGTTGTTTCAGCAAGTATATCTCCTGTATCTCCTTCTCAGTTGTCTACAGTAGGGCCTCAGTTGCCTACCGTCTCAGTTTTGCTGTCCTCAAGTGACCTAATGTTGTCTTCTACAGCTGCTGTTGAAAAAGATTGTCTGCCATTAAGGTCCTGTACAGTTCCATCTTCAAACATTGAGCCTCAACCATCTACGTCAGCTTCATCCTTGTTTGCTCAGCCATCAATATTTTCTCCGGAATCCATCAGGCCTTTCCCTCAGGCAGGACCGCGTAATGTTACCAGCAGGAAACGACGAAAGGCAGCTATATTAACAGACACACCTGAAAAGGAAGCGTTGTCTTTGGAACAAGAAAATAAAAAGAAGAAGAAAATGGTCTCTCGTAAAAAAGCTGTCTCGAAGAAAAATAAACAAGTGAAAAAAAGATTTTACAAGAAAAAGATACAAATAAAAATAAACAAGTGAAAAGAAAGATTATACAAGAAAAAGATACGAGTTCGAGTTCTGAAGAAGAAGAATGTCTTTGTCTGGAATGCTGCGAGTCATTTGCTGACAGTGTTGCAGGAGAAGGCTGGATTCAATGTAATACCTGTAAAGGTTGGGCCCACGATAAGTGTGCCAAACATCACTCATCATCTCTTGCATACGAATGTAAGAATTGTCAGTCTGATGAAGATTAGTTATTAGTTTTTTGTTGAAAATACTTATTTTTTTAAATTGTTTAAGTTGCTAAAGATGTTACCGATTTCTTTTATGAATATGTACGATTTTGAGATACTACAATTGTTTTAAGATGTTACCTTTATCAAGATCAAAAAGACCAAAGACCTAAAGATTTGTTATTAAGACTGATTATAACTGTGCCTTATAATTATATAACTTAGTTACCAGTGCAAAATAGGTCGCAACATATCTGTCGATTAAAATATAATAAATATAAAGATTATTTATTTTTATTTATTTCCTACATTTGACCACAAAATATGATTTAGTTGTCGTGGTTCTTTTTACCCCAAGACTGGTCCTTTTTACCCCACCTGCGGGGTAAAAAGGACCATTTGACATTACATTTTGTATCGCCCATATTGGGCGCATTGGTAAATTCTGGCCGTATTCACCTATGGCAACTTATAGATGAAGGATTAAACTTTCTATTATTATTAAAGTCTTTCCCAGGAACCTTAAACGTACGTAGTTATGACACAATATACGCAAAATGGACCTTTTAGCCCCGCCCTACCCTACTAACTGAATCACCTTACAAAAACGAACTCATGAAACATATAAGTATTAACCCTTAAATACATAATGATGTATATATACATCAGTGTTTTCTTCCTCACATAATTTCTAAACGGTAACTCAAACGCAGTATTTTTTACTTTTAATAGGTGCTAAAAATATCTATCTTAGTTTTTGAACGCAAGCTTTCATGATATGTCAAATAACTTTTTGAATTTTCGTAATTTGACAGCTTGGCGCCACGCTTTCAAATACACTCCTTGGCGGTAAATTTGTAATTTCATTTTAGGGGATACTAAATAGTATTATTACGTGCTAAAATTGCTTTACGAGAGGATAAAGGTAAGCAGAACACATTACATTATTTTTTTTAGAATACAATAACAGTTTTTAGTAAATTTCAGCAATATAGTTGTGATGTATAAATACATCAGTATGCAAAATCGGGTGAAAATAGTTTTACTGTAGGTATAATATATTATTTTATTTTTGGCTTATTTGTTATAGATACGTAATTTATTCATACGAATTTTATAATTATTTTACAGAATGTCCCGTAAAGTCGCAGATAGAGATATAGAACAACTTCTGGCGGCATTAGAAGATGGAAATATTTCTGAGGATGGCTTGGAAGATGAAAGTGACGATGAAGAATCTTTTGTCAGTAATGCAAGAGAACTAATCCAAGAGTTGAAAGATGAGGATGCAGAGGACCATGAAGCTGCCCCCAGTGATCAATCACTAATTCAAGATTTTCCTGGATCCATGCAAGAAGATCATGAACATCATGTGGAGTTTGATAAAAGGAAACTCCTTTGGAAAAAAGACAGTTTGTTGTATGACGAATCGAAAATAATTCACCAACCAAGCACAACAGGCCCTGCTATTACTGAACTAGATACACCATATAAATGTTTTTTGCACTACTTCACACCTGACTTTCTTCAAAAAATTGTTGATGAAACCAACTTATATGCAGTACAAAAAAACCCGTCAATATCTTTCACTACTACTGTTGGGGAGTTAAAAAAATTCATAGGAATTCTTTTGTTTATGTCAGTGGAGCATTTCCCTAGTGCACGCTCATACTGGCATTCCAAGTTTGGGTACGATCCTGTAAAGAGCGTAATGCCGGTGAATCGGTTTGAGATGATTAGGAGCTACTTACATTTCAACGATAATAATAAACATCTTCCGCGAGACCATTCCGATCACGATCGCCTTCATAAGATTCGGCCTGTGATAGAACAGCTAAATACGACATTTTCATCAGTTGCAATAGACCAACGGCTTTCGATAGATGAGCAGATGTGTTCAACTAAAATTGCACATTTCCTAAAGCAATATTTACCAAATAAGCCTCACAAGTGGGGTTATAAGCTTTTTGTTCTCTGTAATCTTATGGGATATGCTTACAGATTTGAGGTCTATTCTGGACAAGAAGAAAAAAAGAAAAACCAGCCGATGAACCTGATCTCGGAATAACAAACAACGTCGTTATACGTTTGGCGAGAGTTATACCAAGGATGAACAATCATATTGTATTCTTCGATAATTTTTACACATCCCTGCCATTGGTAAATTATTTGAATAAACAGGGTATACAATGTGTCGGAACTATTCAGCAAAACAGGCTACCGAATTGTCGACTCCCTGACAAAAAGGAACTTATGAAAACATCTATTCCAAGAGGTACATATGAGGAACGCGTTTCCCATTCAGATGGAGTAGACTTTTCGGCCACTGCGTGGAAAGATAATAAAGTCGTCACTCTTTTATCGACTTACGTTGGCGCCGAGCCTGTTGGAAAAGTATCAAGATACGATAAGAAGGCTAAACAAAAAATTGAGATCCCTTGTCCCAAAATTGTGCAAGAGTACAATATGCATATGGGCGGAGTCGATCTAATGGATAGCTTTTTAGGACGCTATCGGATTCGAATAAAGAGTCGAAAATGGTACTTACGCTTGTTTTATCATCTACTGGACCTCACTACAATCAACTCATGGGTGCTTATGAAAAAAAATCTAATTGCTAAAGGTGTCTCAAAAAAGCAACTGCCTAATCTTGGGGAGTTTCGTAATTGTTTGGCTGACGCACTGTGTAACATAGGTATGTCTGGTGGTAGTAAAAGAGGGCGCCCTAGTGCTTCCTCTCTAGAATGCGAGCTTCTAATAAAAAAGCAAAAGGGTCCGCAACATCCGCTCCCGTCAAAAGATGTGCGCGTAGATGGATTCGAACATTGGCCTGTATTTGCCAATCGATTACGGTGCAAAATGCCCAATTGTAAGGGCACCACGCAATGGTCGTGTACCAAATGTAATGTACCGTTGTGTCTAAATCAGAGAAATAACTGTTTCAAAGATTTTCATTCACTGCACTAAGCCTAATTCGAAAACTCGTTTCATATAATATTACTTCGGGTACATTATTAATAGTAACTGTAATGCATACTGATGTAGATCTACATCAGTAAGTTTTTTGAATAAAAATATATTATTGAGAAAAAAATATTTTTTTCTTTATTTTTCTCTCAATCTATGTTTAATTATCTATCTGTTACAATTTATTGTATTTAAAAAGGAAAAATCATGCATTTAAGGGTTAAAGAAGGTAAAAATAAGAAAAAGACTGATAATCAAGTGACTGAAAAAGGTAAAAAACAAATAAGGAAACCTGGAAATAAGACTGCAAAGAAGATTAAAAAGACAACAGACAAGGAAAATCTGCAGAAAAAGCGTCAAACCAAAAGGTGCAAAAATGAAACAGAATCGGAAGATAGTTCATCCCAAGTAGAGGATGACTGTGCTTGCATCTATTGTGGGTACTTATACTCAGATTCAACGAAAGGTTGGGTCATCTGCGGCGCATGCCACGGTTGGGCGCATAATTCATGTGCCGGAGTAGATGAGGAAGACGAAGAGGCACACATTTGTGAACGCTGTCTACCCGATTAAAAAGCGTACTCGTTTTGCCCCACAGCGTTTCCCATCTAACCCCAGTTATGGGGCAAAACGGGAAATTTGCTGAGTTTATTTTTTCATTATTTGCCATTATTGCATTTATCATATAAGAGAGAAATGTATAATGGTTATCTCTTTTGTTAAAGAATGTTATTAAAGAGTTTAATTTTCATTGTATAACGAGTTTTGTCTTAGCTATCTCATCTTGCCCCAGTCTCCCCTACTTACAGAATCCGAAGAAATATCGTGAAAATGTAAATCGATCTAACGATACATTTACTGTGCCAAAGAAAACGATTAGAAATTATAGAAATCTAAGAAAGAGTTATTCAAGATGATGACTCTAAAGAAAACATGGAATAAACAGTGGAAGAGAACTTAGATTCACCATCACTAAAGAAAGATTTAACATTACAGGAAGAATTACAATCACTGATCTAGCAAGAAACCACGTGTTATATAGTGATGAAATTAAAATAAAGGGAAAAATCTATATAGTATATTATATTTTATTTAACTTTAGATTGAGAGTAACAGAAAAAGGTAACCTAGCAACGCGTGAGCTCCACAGACTAACATAACACATAAAACCTACTTCAACATATAGCATACATACTAAAAAAAAAAAAAAATTTTTTGATAAAGTATAGTAGAATCCGTTTATGACTTTGCCTATATTGACCAACTATTACTAAATTATTGTGACGTATGTAATTACACTACGAAGTTTGGATTTCATATTAAATTCTTTATAAAAAAAGTCGGATATAATGACTTCCCTTACAGTGACATGTCGCTTATTATGACCCATTTTTAACAAATTATGTCCGAATATATGTAATGACCAACATGATTCCCGACGACATTCAGCAAGTGGTCGTTTTTGTTTCGAGTCTCAGTAATTGACGCTTAAAGGTCACGCATTTTCGTTTATCGTTTGTGTTTTTCATTGTACATACTGTGAAAAAAGTCATCTCATCGCCGTAAACCATTTACGATTGAGGAGAAATGTGCAATAATATGCAGATTAGAAAATGGAGAATCAAACTCGTTTCTCGCTAAGGAACTTGGCGTGGGTCTTTCGACGATCTCAATGATTTTTAATAACAAGAACCGCATTAAGCAAACGTTCAATTCAAATGTTTTGAAACTGAAGAGGCTTCGAAAATCGCGACAAGAAAATGTTGATCAAGCAATTAAGTCAGTGGTTTAAAATCATGAGAAACAAAGGAATACCTGTCAGCGGCCCTATGCTACAGGAGAAGGCTGTCAAGATATTGTGAATATTATTAAGATATTTGTGTAAGGCTATTTAAATAACGATCTAACAGCATCCAGTCAAGACAAGCTGGAAAGAAAGTGCACATACCTTCTTAAATGTAATCACTTCATCATCGTTGTCAGAAGTAGGGATACGCAAAATTTCCACCGCTTAACGGTGTCCGTACATTAACCAAATTATTACAAAATGTTTTAATAACATTTCAATACAAGTATTTAATTATAGGATAATGGTGAATTGTATCACACAATACGCAAACAGCGGTTATAATAACATTCATTGGTTGAATATTAATATGACACACACTACCATATCCAATCAAACAGCACCTCAGAATACAAAAAAGTAACAATTAATGATTTGTGACAAAGATTACAATTCAAGATATTGGTGGATTATGTTACGAAACACAGACGCCATCGTTACATTTGACAATACGACAAACAGCGCCATATCCGATTAAGACCATAAATAGATTGTTGTTTTTTATAGGATAATGGTGAATCGTATCGCACAATACGCAAACAACGGTTATAATAACATTCATTGGTTGAATATTAATGTGACACACACTACCAAATCCAATCAGACAACAACTTAGAATTCAAGAAGTATCAATTAACGATTTGTGACAAAGATTACAATTCAAGATATTGGTGGGTTATATTATGAAACACAGAAACATATAATCCAGCTAGAAGGAACATTCTTCAAATAAACTTTAGTACGACAAACAGCGCCATATACGATTAAGACCATGATAAACTATTAATTTTAATTATAAGATATCGGTAGATCGTATCACACAATACGCAAATAACGGTTATAATAACATTCATTGGTTGAAAATTAATGTGACACGCACTACTATATCCAATCAGACAATACCTTAGAATTCAAGAACAAACAACGATTTGTGACAAAGATTCCAATTCAAGATATTAATGGATTATATTACCAAACACATATGCCATCATTACATATGACAGTATAACAAACAGCTCTATACGTATACAATTGGGCCCATATATAGATTTGTTTATTTTTTTTATAGGATATTGGTAGATCATATCACACAATACGCAAACAACGGTTATAATAACATTCATTGATTGAATATTAATGTGACACACACTACCATATCCAATCAAACAACAACTAAGAATTCAAGAACAAACAACGATTTGTGACAAAGACTCCAATTTAAGATATTGATGGATTATACTCATACCTAAGAAGGACGCAACCATTACATTCGACAGTACAATATACAGCGCCATAGACATTCATGACTATAAATTGATTTGTTAATTCTTATTATAGGATAACAGTGAATTTTATCAGATAATACGCAAACAGCGGTTATAATAACATTCATTGGTTGAATATTAATGACACACATTACCATATCCAATCAGACAGCACTTCAGAATTCAAAAAAGTAACAATTAATGATTTGTGACAAAGATGCCAATTTAAGATTCTAGTGGATTATGTTACGAAACACTGACACCATCGTTACATTTGACAATACGACAAACAGCGCCATATCCTATTAAGACCATAAATAGATTGTTAATTTTTTTTTATAGGATATTGGTAGATCGTTTCACACAATACGCAAACAACGGTTATAATAACATTCATTGGTTGAATATTAATGTGACACACACTACCATATCCAATCAGACAACACCTGAGAATTCAAGAACAAACAACGATTTGTGACAAAGATTCCAATTCAAGATATTGATGGATTATATTACCAAAAAGACGCCAACACTACATTTGACAGTATAAAAAACAGCACTATACATATACAATTGGGCCCATATATAATTTTATTTTTATTATAGGATATTGGTAGATCGTATCACACAATACGCAAGCAACGGTTATAATAACATTCATTGGTTGAATATTAATGTGACAGGCACTACCATATCCAATCAGACAACACCTTAAAATTCAAGAACAAACAATTAAAGATTTGTGACAAAGATTCCAATTCAAGATATTGATGGATTATACTCATGTTACCAAACACGGACGTAACCATTACATTCGACAGTACGATATACAGCGCCAGACATTCATGACTATAAATTGATTTGTTATTTCTTATTATAGAATAATGGTAAATTTTATCAGATAATACGCAAACAGTTATAATAACATTCATTGGTTGAATATTAATGACATACATTACCATATCCAATCAGACAGCACCTCAGAATTAAAAAAAGTAACAATTAATGATTTGTGACAAAGAAGCCAATTTAAAATTCTAGTGGATTATACTCATATTACCAAATACGAACGCCATCATTACATTTGACAGTATAACAAACAGCACTATACGTATACAATTGGGCCCTATGAAGACTTGTTTATTTTTATTATAAGATATTGGTAGATCGTATCACACAATACGCAAACAAAGGTTATAATAACATTCATTGATTGAAAATTAATGTGACACACACTACCATATCCGATTGGATACACCGCATAGATTGGACCATACTTAAATTAAAAAACTAACTTCTTTTTGGTTTTTATCTTTTATAAGGCTTATTTATTTCTGCGTACCGTAATAGAAGACAGACGTGACCGATACGTATATATTAACATATGGGTATGTAATTTGTGACAAAAATTCCAAATTAGGATATTGGTGGATATTAACATCAGTAGAGCATTTATCTTACAAAAAAGGGCTATAAGAACAATTGTACGAATTTCACAAAGAGATTCCTGTAGAGAATATTTTAAAAAGCTCGCAATTTTAACAGTTCCAAGCCTCTATATACTGGTTGTCCTTACTGATTTTGTAAAGGTCCTTCTGAAAACTGAAACTGAGCAAAATAGAAAAAATCGGGAGAGTACTAGGAGGAAAGATGTTAGTACTAACTTTGTGCCCCGTCTAGACATTGTCAAACACGGTACACGTCTTCAGGCAGTAGTTATTTAATAAATTACCTATCCAGTTAAAAATTATACGAAGCCTCAATTCTTTTAAGATTAGATTACGATCCCTTTTATTGGAGAAATGTTACTACTCCGTACTACTGTACTGATGATTAATATAAATAATTAAAAATGAATTTGACATGTTTATATAATATTACTATGAAATTGACACTGTTTATTGCAGAATTTATTTATTATAATTTATTGTTATTATTATAGTTTGGATGGTTGTAGTATTCAGGTTAATGTAATGATTTTTGTATGTTTATCCCTTATTTCAGACACAATGTACATTGTTTTTTGACTAATGACTAATGACTAATTATCACACAACAAAAATAATTCAAAAGAAACATTCAATAGTATTATTTTTGTTCTTTTGCCACATACATTTGATACATGGACTTTTTTTTTAACATGAATTTATTTAGAAGCTCTCAGATACCTTCAGGCAGTGCATTCCAGAGTCGTGAAGCTTGAATGATGAGAGTCAGGCATAAAACCAGATTTATGAAGATAATTTGTTTAAAAATCATCGTCCGTTCCCATACCACCGGTGTAAATATACTAGTCTGTTAATATTATGCTCTCAGCGTTAGAAGCCTATTGATTTAATCGGGTTATGCGAATCATATATATATACGTATATAATGCCCTTGGCTTTCAATGACTTCTTGTTACACAAACTAAATGATATACAACGGAATTGTACGTGAGATCGTCCGAATGTATTTCTAACATGTGAGCTACCCAAACATTATTATAATCATATTAGTAATAATAGACATTATATGCTTCTCGTTATGGCTTAGTCATATTTATTTATTAGTCTATACTTCATTAACAAAACGTCACAATAAAACTATATTTAGTTTTAGTATTGGCACATTATACAGTTTAATTCCTGCATATTGGGAATGGGATGTAAATTTAACATAGTTTGAAAAGTTTCAACTAATCATACATACATACTGTATTATATTTTATATGTTTATATTTTATATGTTTGTATAGCTTTTATATATTACATTTTTATAAGAAAACGAACTAGAGATCATTACTAATATTAGAAATGAGAAAATTAATTCATTTGTTAATTTTTGGCGCCTAGGCTTACAGACAAACAGACAGTCACTAAATTAGACAAGAAATACTAGATGTATCTGGAATCGAGACTTATGGCTTTTGTTGATTATTTACTATTATTTACTTTACATAATAAAAAAAACACTAATTTAGAATTTTTTTCCTTAAATTATCTTTAACTACATAATAAACAAAAACAAGTTTCGATTCTAACGCCATCTAGTAGGTAAAGGCACCTAAATTTGCCAACGTTATAATGCAAATTGTTTAGTAACCAACAACTTTAAATAAAGTTTGATTAAAAAGCCCTATACCTGCAGAATTTAGCGGCGGAATTTTAGGCTATATTACAGCACAAACCTATAACGTAAATACTAAGGCAGTTGTCATATAAAATTTTAAAAAATTAACACAATTTCACATTCACTGCTTTTACTACTAGTGCCTCTAAATAAGTGGCAAATGAAACTATCCATAGAGATAGATTAGTTTGCAATTTGTCTATGGAAAATATATATTAAGTATTTACAATAAAGTTATTCTTTCTGAAGTACCATTTGCCTTAATCTTTAAATTAAAAATTTTAAATTTATTATCATCGCATCATTCTCTTTAGATAGAGAACTGTACTCCAGAATCCACTCCAATATTTATATGGAATTTGTTCCATATAGCCAGATAAAATGCAAATATGCCAATACAAAAACATTCAAAATTTACAATACATATTAAATTCTTTTATACAACCTCTTTACTCTCAACAGACTTTTCTTCTGATTCAACATTACTTGCAACATTACTCGTAACATTTTCTACACTTTTCGATATAACGTCTTGTTCCTTTGTTTCGTTTGTCTCTTTATCGTCACAATCTTCATCATCATCATCATCTAACTCTCTATTTTCTGTCTCTTTCTCGCCGGGAACATCATCTGACGGGTCATAGGAATGTAGATTCAGTTTCTCCAGCCAGTTACCCATTGAATTGTCTTCTATCTCACCTTTTACTATGTTGGGGTATATGAAATCATGTTTGAATTTTTGAACAGCCTCTTCTTCTGCTTCCCAGGTGAGACTATCGTGACTTATTTTGTATCGGGCATCATATCTGTCGTAGTGTACCTAAAATTATAATAAATATGTATCCACAACTTGTCTGGCTTGCTCCCTGCTATATATATAGAATCTTATATGCTTGGCGAAATATGGGCATGCGAAGATTGCCGTCACCGAAACGGTAACAGTTGACAAATGCATCCGACTATCCTATTACAGATTATTTTAATCATATGACCAACTAACCTGCATTCATTCCCACCTATCACCTTCCACTGGTGTTCAAAATTAACCTTTTTATATATTGACAATTGTAGTTTTTTATAAAAAAGAATATTTATAAACAATTGAAAAAGGACAAAATATATATATATATATAATAAATATCATCTTCAAGTCAACAGATGGCAATTTTATTTACAATTAATATAATATAAATAATAATATATAATAACAAGAACCAGCATATTTTACAAACAACTGGTACCCCGTTAGTGTATACCGATACCGTTTCATTTTTACCCATTAAAAAAAAAACAGTTAACGCCACTCTCTCACGAACGATAGTAGTACTAACCATATCTAGAACTAAGCCCAGACCAGGCGCGGTGGGTATTATGACTTTCTCCTTGCCAAATGCCCGCTCCATCGTTGACGAGTCCGTGTGACCTCTGACAACGGCAATCATTAGACCTACCATTTTACGGATCTGATGCAGCATGAAGCTTTGTCCCTGTGTAATAAATACAATTATTGTATAATCTATCTCTATTGTAATTATCAAACACTCAGGTAGTAGTTTTTTTTTTTTTTTTATACAACTTAAAATGACAAACAAGCTGACGGCCCACCTGATGGAAAATGGTAACCGTCGCCTATAGACATGAGCAGTACCATGGACATAACTATACTGTAGAGTATCCCGTTTCGCCCATGATACCCCCATGCGTTGCCATTCTTGAGGACTCAGGTGTTATTCCTCTATACCCAGTAAATTCACGCCATATCGCACCCTTCAAACCGAAACACAGCCATGCAAACACAACTGCTTCACGGTAGAAACACGAATGGAACAGAGGTAACCAAGCAATCAACTTTTGTACAAAGTCTCCCTCTGGTATGATCTTCCTACCGAAGCTTTCCTTAGAGACTACATCATGGGATACGCTGACCACCAAATGGGCCATATACTTGTTTGCTGTCTTTGTGGTATAAAAAAAAGAAATATTCTCCACATGAAATAAGTTAACAGTCGAAACATTAAAATTAAGCAGAATTTGTATTATGGATAATAGACAAACAAAACATAAAAACAAAAAATAGGCCATAGATTAAGCAACGACAGCATGCAGAGCGTATTCTTTGTCTATGACCTACAAGTGCCGACTTAAGTTTTTTTTTTTTTGTTAATATTTAACGCTTACCTTAACTAATAATACGGCAAACTCCATATCTGAATGTACAAAGACTTTCTCTACGCTAAAACTCATCATGTACCTCAATGCAGACGGGTCTTGGAAGTGCCTACAAATAAAAACTACTCTTGATTTATACAAACAAATTTACAGCTACTGTCACAATTAGTGCTTCAATCGTTAGAAAAATAATATTGGATTAAAACTCATCAAAATAGATTTATAATATGAGTAAATAACGTAATTGTGTGAAAAACAAAAACAAAAAATACAACCGAATTGAAACTTCGAAAGACAGAAATAGTCTAAATTTAACTTATATCTAAAATATAGGATTATATATTTTTTTATGTAACTTAGAATGGCAAACAAGCTGAAGGCCCATCTGATGGAAAGTGTTAACCGTCGCCTATAGACATGAGCAGTACCATGGACATAACAGAGTATACTGTTTCGCCCATGATACCCCCCATGCGTTGTCATTCCTGAGGACTCAGGTGTTATTCCTCTGTACCCTGTAAATTCACACCATATCCCACCCTTCAAACCGAAACACAGCCATGCAAACACAACTGCTTTACACACGAGAAACACGAATGGGACAGAGGTACACAAGCAAACGACTTTTGTACAAAGTCTCCCTCCCTCTCTATATTAGACCTTAATAATTTTGACTAAAGATATTTTTTCACGTATTTCTACCGTCAGTGTGTGTAGCTATACTTGCATGAATTGATGAATAAATACGCTGTGTTGTGGTTAAAAAAAAAAGAGATATGGCAATGTAATTACGGAGGATAGTGATATCACACCTCAGTCCTCAGGAATAATGATGCAAGCATGAGATAATGATCATGTCTATGGCCATTCAAGTAGACTGACAACTCATTTACTAAACCTAATTAATAATAAGATTGTTTTGCATTAAAAAACGCCTTCAATTGTGGAAAAACCAGTTATTTTGATTTAAAATCTCTTTCTTTGTCTTCTAAACTACAGAATCGATTTTTTGATAAACCTTTTATCTTTGTTCTATAAGACCAATCTGTAGCATCTTTTAGTTTTCTTCCTAATATCAGTGTTTAGGAAAAACCAGTTATTTTGATTTAAAAACTAAACTACAGAATCGATTTTGATAAAATTTCTATAAGACCAATCTGTAAGTATTGCCTTTCAGATAAAAAATTGATTCCCCAAATCGATTCACAACTGATCGAGTTATTAGGTAAGAAATATAAAAAAAATAGAACCTTCTTTTTTGAAGTGTTGTAAAAATATTACTTACTTCCTTTCAGTAAAATTGTGGTAACTCTTCGTCCCTTTGTATATACTTAATACATTATTGACTTTGTCCAATGTCTCTGCAGGTATTCTATAAAATTTCCTTTCTTCTATGGTCACCAGGCTAGGTTCGAATACATAGGTGGGCAGTGTAAAACTGTATGTTCGCGCATTACATTTCGATTTTGAATTAAATTTATTTGTAACCCGTTTCACAGCAAATATTCTTATGCACTCGGGTAATTTTTTGTTGATATCATCAATGTTTATTTCTAAAGCTGTAAATGTAATTATATTTATAATAAAATAATAATTAATACTAATATAATACATTACACTAAAACACAAAGGGAGACTTTGTACAAAAGTCGATTGCTTGGGTACCTCTGTCCCATTCGTGTATCTACCGTGAAGCAGTTGTGTTTGCATGGCTGTGTTTCGGTTTAAAGGATGGAATATGGCGTGAATTTACAGGGTACAGAGGAATAACTCCCGAGTTCTCAGGAATAGCAACGTATGGGGGGTATCATGGGCGAAACAGTATACTCTGTTATGTCCATGGTACTGCTCATGTCTATAGGCGACGGTTACCACTTTCCATCAGGTAGCCGTTAGCTTGTTTGCCATTCTAGGTTGTATAAAAAAAAAGAAAAAAATAGCAACATCTAGTTTGAAAATATCAGGACAAGTTTAATTGTCATGTAAGTTTTTATCATCAGCATTGTTGGCGACAGACCCCTTTTTATATAAATTTACCTTTTTAGATTTTGTATTTTTCTATTTTGAATATGTCTCTTTTATAACTTTGTTTTTTACTTTTTACTTATTGACTTCTTGTCAAGGAAATTATACTGGTAAGCTTCTCTATTATATTTATTTATTGCCGCTGCCCTCATCTCCTACCAGTGCAGTTAATATTCACCATCTCAGCTATTATCTGTCCACTGCTTAAAGGCCTCCCCCATAGAATGCTATAGGGAACGGTCCTGAGCCACCTGCATCCACTGACCACCTGCAATGCCTTTGTGGTTATTACTCCATCTAGTAGGGGAAGGGAAGGATTGTTAGTAATATGGACCATTGCTAGTAATATACCGTCAGATTTATCTCTATGCCCCCCCCCCCTTTCATCCCCCTGCCTTTTCATCCTTCATATATATAAATATAGTCTTCCTGCAGGGTAATTCATTTTGTACCCTAGATAGTGGCTTTTGAAGATGAAGAAGTGGTAAAACATTGTGTTGCCATACCATTACCATACACATAGTTACCTTAATATTATCAAAGGAAAATACTAACGTAACTTCATAGACACGACCTGTCTGGCGGCAGAGACACCTTTGTCGGTTCGCGAGCTCCTCTGGAAGTGCGCATTCTGTTGATTTTTGTAGTCATCCTCCGTTATGTATTTAGTCTCGTACAGTGCTTTCAATAGGTCCTCCTCTATTGTTCTAACGCCCGGATTCCTTTTGATAAGACAAATGAAGTTTTCATTATCAAAATTAGATTGTTATACCTTATAAATAATACCACTGGACATATTACACAGCGCCATCTAGTCCCAAAATAAGCAGAGCTTGTGTTTAATTAAATAATCAGTTTGTATTGTGTACTAATCAACTGGTAGAAATTCTCATGAAATAATACGTGTTTGTACTAGCCAAGTTTGTCCAGGAACCCCATAATCAGTTACCAGTTTACCAGAGGGAGACTTTGTACAAAATTCGATTGCTTGGGTACCTCTGTCTCATTCGTGTTTCAACCGTGAAGCAGCTGTGTTTTCATGGCTGTGTTTCGGTTTGAAGGGTGGGATATGGCGTGAATTTACTGGGTACAGAGGCATAACACCTGAGTCCTCAGGAATGGCAACGCATGGGGGGTATCACGGGTGAAACAGTATACTCTGTTATGTCCATGGTTACCACTTTCCATCAGGTGGACCGTCAGCTTGTTTGCCATTCTAAATTGTATGAAAAAAAATCAAATTTCAACATAAACCACAAAAGTACTATATTTCATTAAATTCTTATTTATAACAAAGTTTCACTAGTGTGTGTATGCGTATGCGTGAATAACGCATGAGCGCGTTTGCGCGTGTGTAAGCGCGTGTGTGTAAACGCGCATGTGTAAGGGCGCGCGTTTAATATGCGTGTGCGAGTTTGTGTGGGCGTGTGTGCACTTGCTTTCGTACGTGTGCATGTGTGCGTGTGCGTATAGGCGTGCGCGTGTATACATCAGTGAGCGTGTGCGTAAGTAAAAAAAATATGTTACCTCTGCATTCCATAGTAATCTACCCCACAATAGCCTAATAGCATTGCCATTTTTTTCCTCTTAATCCTTTCAGCGGTTTTCTCGCATAATTTTTTTTCTTCTGACTCTCCGTCGTCTTTCTTATTAGCAGTCAACTCCTCCCACTGCCGCTTCATGTGACGTTTCTTAAACCTCGTCTGATTTTTGCTACGAATTATTTCATCTGACTCATCTTTTGGCGAGTCTATTTTTTCTGGTGTAGCCACGTCCATGGCTGTTGCGAATCGGAATGTTAATCCTAGTGGCAGGTAAGAAACATGTATACATTAAAACAAACTCTTAAAAGAACAGTCATAATAAGCAATACCCTTTTTGTTGAGAGAATTCTTTTAGGATTATGCCATAAGAATAAGAACTAGGTAGAAGTAACACTTCCGCTAATTCAATAATAATTCGTTCAAGCTCGAAGCTCGAGCAGCATTCATTACTCGAATTTTTCTTTAATCAGTGTCGCCATACACCAAACAAAGAGAATGTTTAATCATAAGCCACAAGATGACACTTTGTTTTTTTTTCTCTTATCAACTTAAATACCAACATTGATGATTTATTTACTTAGCAACCATAAAAATGTAGCATTTCATAAATTTTTTATAGTAATACCATAATACACTCTTTATTAATTACTAATATTATAATTTAATATTTTGATGGTGGGAACTCCATTGGAACTCTGACTATTTATTTATTTTTATTATTGTCTGATATTCCAAATCCTTTTAATTTCTTTTTCGCATTATCTTCTATTGTTGGCAAAAATGTATGAAAAGATTGATGAATGTGGAAGAAGCAAAAGAGGTTTGCTTTAATCAAAACATTTGGAGTACCATTGTTTCTGTCTATCTTAATAACAAACTTTGAGACAGGCATGACAGATATGTATGTATATATGTTTCAATTGTAAGTTGTGTGTAACAAGTAAATGACAAAAAAAAAAGACAAGAAACAAACAGTAATGGGATACAAATAGATAGAGATAAGGAGAGAAATGCTAATGCCCACTTTGGTTGTATTATGGTGTTTCTAATGCCATAAGCAGAGATATTATTAGTTTAGTTATACATATCTGTTTAACATTATTGTACATTAGACAATAAATTGATGTAAAAAAAAATACACAGTAGATGCAACAGATTTATCCAAAATAATTTCAGTCAACCTTGTGAATACTTGAAGTACATACATCTAAATATTTATTCTAAATTTCAATATTCATTTCTTTCTAATATCTATTCCATTGTATTTAATTTTGTATTATATTCCTTAACTTGTAAGTACACAAAGTGCAAAGATAAGGGAAATCGAGTAAAAAAAAAATTAAATGAATCCTGGAGACTCAGATTCAGACCTATCTTCATTTGATGGACTTTCAAGTATTGTGTTACTTGATTCCTTGCTTAATGTTACATTTGAAAAAAATGTATTGTCATTTATATTATTTGAAATATTACTTATTTCAAATTTGTAATGTTGTAAAAAATAAAAGTATACATTTTATACATAAATACTCTCTATTCATAGAAATATAAATTTTTTACAAACTTATTTTAACTAATTGGAGGGTTCTGTAACATTTTTTTTAATTGTAAATCGTTTGTAGCAGATTTTAATAGCTTTGGTATAGAAACCCTAAGAAATATGTGGCCACAAACCAAACTAATATGATCATATGTAGAATCAGAAATGTAAACACAGAAATAACAATGATAAACAGTAAGATTTGAAAAAAGATAATAAATTCTAATAAATTGACTACAGAATCGAAGATTGGGAATTGTTTGTAATGTGGCCATATTGCTATCAAAATACCTGTTAAATTAATATACTTGGAAGAGGTAAGCTCACTCTTGCTAACAATTTTTAAACAAATTGCTGTATCTTTTCTTTAAGTACAATAAAGAATATATATACTTTTCCTCTAGAAACCACGGTGATTAATTTCTAATGAAATCATCACGATGGGCCAACTGATTGAGTTCATCCTCACCTATTCATCTTCATCACTGATGCCCTATCAGCATATTTGATAAAAAAAACTGGCAGTTTCTATCCAATTTTCATACTATTAAAAAAAATCAAACTTCATCTTAGCCTGCTGTTCGCCTCACTTGTATAATAATAACGCGGATTATTCCTTTTTTATTCTTTAACCCCCTTATTATAAAAACGCCGCCAAACGTCTTATAAGCCTATTTTAAATATCGAAGTGTTATTTTTTTTTTTACACTAATTTCCCAATTGGAAATAAATAAAGTGATCAAATCTTTGTAAAAAATGTGGCGAGTTTTTATGAAGGGGGCAGAATACTCTACAGTATCAACAAAGCACCTACTTACCGCATCAGTTATAGGTTATAATAATAATATTTTAAGATTTCGAAAATATTATATGTCTGTTGTACTAGAAACTTAAGTACCTTGTTCTCTACAAAACTGTTCCTCTATACAGAATATTATAGCAATTGATATTTCAATATCAAGGAGATTTCTTCGTCAATTTCAACATCACTAACAATAAACATGTGAAACGTTTTGAACTGGAAAGTACCTGATTTAATCGGATGTCTCGGCAGGTTCTTTCCCAAAGTATTAACAAATAATTTAAATATTGTAAATGACATGCCTATTATGGTAAATAATTAGAAAAATAACGAAATAAAATACATACACTAAAATTTAATACACTGCGACACAAACCAAGTAATCACTATTTAAGTTGTCGGCACTACTCTCATATTGGGAAACTGGAAACTAAGTCTCAGGGTATTAACACAATAACATTAATTAAAATTTACAGTCCTCTAGAACTATTTATAACATGTTTCTCTACTAAAATATCGATATTGGTAGGTATCATAAAATATTTTAAATACACAATCGGGCTAATAATAAAAAATCTTGCTTTTAGAAGCAAGTATATAGATACTATTTACCTGCAAAAAAATTTTCATCACTTTAAATACCGATTGTGTATTTAAAATGTGTGTAAATAAAGCGAAAGTTTAAAATTAACTATCGTAAAATACCTCATTATTTTGTTAAAAAATTTCTAAATCAATGAACTGGTTACATAGATCTCATACAAAATTTTTTTACTCGTGTAAATGTATGGAACTACAGAAACTAGTGATGAGTCTTATTTGTTAATCGATTGGATCAATTACAAGAAATATATTTGAGTTTAAATCGTATGTATTATATTTGATTAAAACTGGTTATAGGAATATCAAATTATAACGACGCCAATATATATCAAATCGAATAATAAATATAATCGAATAGAATATTGATATTATCTATATTATCTGTAGTGTAAGTGAGTACAAACCTATGTTATCTTTTGGCGGGAACAACCAAACAGGGCTGCCAAAACTTTTAAATTCAATTTTCCTACATTTAATTTAAGGATAATTGTATATTTGTGTATATTTCAATTGCATTAGTTTATTGAAAATGGACGGGAATTAACTATTTGTTTTATATTTTACCCAGATTATGTAAGATTGTACCCGTAAAACTACCACAGAACAAATTAATTTTTAACAAAACTGTGTTTATAAAATTACATAGATAAACTAGGTAATAAAAGCTTTGTTTATTTAAATCAAATCTTCCAAAGGGATATATAAGATATAATACCTTCCATCCATTAGGTAAACGTTAACAAAATAGGCTAATATATGACTGATAGGTAAATAAGAGTACCTATTTTAACGTAAAATGTTGAACTGTTCAGCAATTTTCACGTCAGGGAGTAGCATATGGGACTCTTTTACGTTTGTAAAGTAGGTTTTTGTAATAGGTGACAATGGAATGATAAATGCATTGGAGTGGCACGAGTAAGGTGAGAATGAAACAGGTCATCGTAACATCGTATCAAATAGTAACAAATTAATCACTATGGTTACCAGGTGGAACCGCGTGAAGATTAACCTGATAGGGTATATTGTTAGCAATGAGATTATTAAGTCCAATTACTAATAATTCCTTTTCCCTAACCTAGGTATGTAATATTATTGAAGAAGCTTATAAATTAGGTCAACTTCTATGTTAATTATTAATCAAACCGTCTACTTAGCGAATATTTACGGTACAATTAGAACAAGTACATAACTACCTACCATTGCACGTACCCAGTCAATTAACCAACAACGCGCATGCTCCAACAATGCGCATGTCTGAACTCTCTAGACCGCATATTTAGGACAAGACACACATCATGGGGTGACGCAGTGCTTGAAAAAATGAAAGGCGGAAGTTCTGAACGCTTGGTCGTGAGACCCTCGCGGCGCAGAGGAGAGACACGCGCCAAGCTCACCCGGTATATAACTGTAACGTTAGCAGCTTTATTGGGTGGAGGCGGTTCCGCTTTGCTCTTTCTCGTTCCCCTGTACGCTGATCCAGCACTAAGTGCTCTAGCCGCAGACTTCGACCCGGTGCCAGCCGAGTGTGTCACAGAGAGGCGCGACGACAGACTCGGGCTTGATAACTGTACGTGGGCGTCTTGCAGAGAAGGCTGCACCAGTGACGCGTACAAATGCATACAGTTGCACGTCAAATACAAAGCGTATTCAGAGGATTGGCGTCCGGCCGTATTGTTCGTAAATATAAAGGGCTGTGGGTATCCGCCGACAGTGGATTGCGAGAATTTTACGACTAGCTACGGATATGTCGGAGCCAAGTATCCATGCTACTGGTCAAGAGCTGACACGAGTGTAGTGGTGCCGCGGTGGTCACGAGGTGAACAAGTTGCGACAGTGACGAGGACCCTGGCGTTGCCTCTGTTTCTCTCTGGATGTGCTGGGATCGGACTGTGCGCTCTGCACTGCGAGTGTAGGCCACGTCGCAGGCGCCGCCCTCCGCGTCGTCCTCCTCGCTTGCCTACTTTGTCACCCGATGACACTTCGGTCTACAGGCTAGCTTAGGCTCGCCGTAAGGTCCAATAAAGCTGTAACTATTTTATTACAAATTAAAAGTATTTAAATTTATTTTGGATGAGGACTAATGTAAATAAAAAATGTATATATTTATGTTCATTGTGTTGTTTCATTTGCAAGAGTCAGATAGATACCTATTTGATTTCTAAAATGAGGCTCTGAATTGGACGTAGCTATGCAGAAGGGACTCAGCCAAGAAAATTTTCTAAAATGTCACGATACTAAATTATGTAAGAATTTTTTAAATTTTTTCAGCTAAAGTGCATACAGTTTATATTTTTTGTATTATTTTATTGCGACAATGAATCCAGGTTCGTGAACTCGTTAATATGGAAATTAAAACAACAGGTATGATTCATTCAAATACTCATTCTAATCCACATGGATTAGAATATGAGTATTTTGTAAACTGATTTGGACGAGACGAGACAGTTCTTCCATATTTTCCCATACAAGAGATAGAGTAAGAGCAGTTATTTATTACAGACTAGACCAGGTTCGCAGTTTTTCAAAATAATACAGCCCTTATACCAGTGACTCTTTTACAATGTAACTTTCTATAAGCGGAAGTGTCTTGAAAATCGGTTAAGTATTTTCTGATCCATTACACTTAAATCTTTACTTTTTATTAATTTAGATTCACAATTTATGGAATATCTAAATTTATATTTATTATTTATATATAGAGGACCTCTCTGTAACATACAATAAAATATAAGGTAGTATTTAAGGGTTGTATATAATAAAATACTTGAAGGACATGGTAAACATTTATTTCAGGTTTATAATGCATCTTCATCTTCAATTTAAAGTACAAAATTACATATTTTCTCAGTCCTATACCTGCTGGGGTCTAATTACCTAGCGTTCAGTCTTCTTCGCATACATAATATACCTCAATTTTTTTATTATAATAAATATATATACGTATGGTCGGCAAAATATGTAATCTATTAATCTAAACAGTCCAGTAAAAATATTTTAGCCAATTATCAGTTAGTTTGAATTTTCAATAATTACTATTTCAAATATGAATTTGAAATGAGAACAACAAAAATTAATGACGTTACAATGTGTTGCAAATAAAAAGGGATCATACATTTTATATGTCTAATATTAGACAATTTAATATTCCACTAATTCTTAGATTAGTGATAAGAAATTACAAATAAAGCAGATCACATTACGCTGCACTCCGATCATAAGCCACTTGATCATCTATGGAGACCATAACATGTAAATTCTTGCTGTGGAAACAATAATGTGTCGTTAAAATCGGTAGCACGATATGAGATCTGCTTAATCTGCCACTAAATTACCAGTTTAATCTATAGTATAATAAATATGTAATAAACTTATTACTTTTAATTACAGTTTCTGAGTATTGTATAAATAATGAGCTTTTGTGTCTTATATAAAATAAAACGTACAACTCAATTAGACATTAACAAGTATAAATATTGTACATTTCTAGGTTCGAGGCAGTAGTAACATAGGAAGCACGTTGTTATAGCCAGGTATAACAGATATACTGTTCACTCATTTTCAAAACAAGTTTTTGAGATTTCACAAATTAATGTTTCCTTCTACATATGGTATGCACATGAACGGGTATATTTCAATTGAAATAATAATTAATATATATTCATTCTAAATTAATAATATTTTCTTTTTCTAATTACAAACCTGCGTTCGATTTATAATTTGTTGAACATAGACAATTTGTCCTTAATGCAGGACGCATTAAAGACAAATTGTCTATGTATTTGCAGTCCTGTCGAATTGTTCACTCCAACGCTAATCAATATTCAGATATAAATCATTAACTACACTATTATGTTTTATAATCCATACATAATGCCAAAAAGTTTTTTTATTTTTAATTTATTAGGCTTTAGCCAGGAGCCATCTACCACAACATGCTAAAGAGTATGCTTTAAAAAAAAATGCAGCCTAATTTTTAATTTCTTTTTTTTTCTATTTAAATATACTTTATTACTTGTGAAAAACTTATTTACTTTAAAGGGATATATTTTATTCAGCAGGCTTCTTGCAAGACTGAATATATATTTATTATTTGTCAAATTTCCCAAGTGGGAATGTAAAAAGAATACAATATATAAATATATAAATGTTCAACATAATTTTTATGAAATTTGAAAAAAAACAATTCCAATATTATCACAAATAAAAAAGTTATTATGAGAAACGCCCGTTACATTTGCGATTTTCTTTTCCAATCTTACATAATTGTCTGTGGTTAACACTTTTTTAAAACTTTTTTATATTTTTAATTTAATTTTTAAATTCACAGTGTTGTCTTTTAAATTCAATAATTATCATAGACGTAATGGTAACTAATTTTAACTAGAATTTTGGCGATTCGAAACATTATCAACCTTTTTACAAATTAACAATAGAAAAAAAAATACAGTAAAAAAAGTAATATGTGACTCTATGTCACACACAGATAATACACATTAGAAAATACGTGAACATGGAACGGAATCTTTAATAAACTTAAAAAATAAATCTAACAGGACTTTGAGTAAAAAAAAAAATGAGCAATAATATTTAATCCAAAAAAAGATTCTATTCCAAATCACAAAATAACACAGTTTATTACTATATCGCGGCATTGTTAAACGATCCGGGACCAACTGAACCCATGGATCTTACCCCACGTTCCACTAGACCAGCAAACAATATTTTGAAGTACCCACTAGCCCCTTTGAAACCCTGGCGAGTGATATTAACATTACATTTTAAACATTTGGATATCCGGTCTCCATTACCACATAGATTTTTTTGTACATTGACAGAATGTTTACTGACGGGTTTTAATTAAACGGCTTACTCAATTATTCGAGGGTCGAGTGAAACGGTTAGGCGGTAAAATTTGACGTTGCAGTGGATACATTCAGTAAATATAGATTAACCCCATCTGTCATTAAACAAGCCGAGAAATAGAATTACAAACAACGAACAATAAATTAAAACAAGATCGTTATCACAACCACACCACCATCTAAAACAGCATTATATTCAAGATAAATAAAAAAAAATCTACAATTGACCTAATTAATACGCTATTTCAGATAAAGTATTAATGATAAAGGTGATGTTGTTATCCTTGTGAAGTAATAATAAATCATGTAAAATCATGAGTAGTTACGCATGTGACGGCCATTTTGTAACTGTATGGACGTACAAAATGGCGGCTATAAGACGACTGTTTTTCTTTATGCGATTTAATATTTAAAAAAAATTAATGAGTAAATACGAGATTCTCATGATTTCACAAATTGTAGTATTTCAAATTGGTTATAGGTATTGTTTTAATTTAGATATATACAATATAATAGACAGTTGGAATAACGCAAGTTGATTTCATAGCCGAGACAATATTTTATTTTGTTTATATAAAAATATAGCAACAAATACATGTAAATTTGTTTTCATACAATTCATCAAACTTGCGTCATCATTTCATCATATATTAATAACAGAAATGGAAAATCCCGTATTATTTGTATCTAATACGGATACCGTTTACAAAATAATGCCTATATTGATACAAGCCTATCGTACTACATTACACGGGCTTTATCAAGACGCCACCTCCATAAACGAAACTAAAAAAATAATTACAGCAAATGACTGTCTAAATGTACTTTGGAAATCATCATTGATCAATCATCATGCAAAATCTAAAGCAATCCAGACCACTAACAACCACGTAATATATAAGATTGTGTTATTTTTTAAGAATATAATTTTAGGAGTAAAATAATATCAAAGTTTAATGTAACATTAAGGTGCGTATTCACCAATGCATTTCCATGTAATGTAACAGTTCAGAAATGAGTTAATATGTTAGCGAATACGTTAGGACAATATCGTATCGGATATATCGTTAGGGCAAATTAACTCAATAAAACAACTTTTGTAGTTCCAACACAAACGTAAATTACTATTTTATAGATTTTTCTTTAAAAGTAATTTTACTGAATGATAATTTAACAAGATCAACTGTAAATTTATTATTTTATTTATAAATAACGAGAAAATAAAGAAAATAGTGAGTAGGAATTATTTCGAAACTACAAACATTAATTCATTGAGGTATCTACCTATGTCAACGGTATATTCAATACAGTATTACATGTAATGAAACACTGTATTTCTACATTACACGAGCGTGCTCCAAGTCTGTACGCACCTTTACGTACATAGCGTAACAATAAGTGTGGGTGTCAGTGAATCTAATTAATTATTAGCAAGTCTATCTATTGCCTTCATAAAATACACGCTAAGGATAGCTATTTGCATATATTGACTTCTTTTACATCAACAAATAAATATACACGAATGTTATTAACAAAAACATAGTTCTCAATGAACTTATATCAATAGATTAAGTAACTGGTTAAACTGTTACTTGAAATCACAATAACTAGTTAAATAACAGTTTCACTAGTTAAATAGCTTATACAGGTTTATTGGAGGCCAAATGTTTATTTTTATAAATTAAATGCCTATAGAGGTAATATATTCTGGTGTAATTTCATAGACAATAGACGAACCAATTTACTCTTTTTCACCACCAAATCATCACTAATTTACAATAGTTAAATCAGTAGAGGGCCTGTTTATATTTTTTTTTTCTTTTTTTTTGCAATTTGAGTAAAAATTTATATAGAACTTCGACACATGAAACTCTTATCAAAAATCATGCATCACGTAACGTAATTTTATAAATTATTAAATCATATTACTCTCGATAATTTATCAGATAATTTAATATTAATCCACTTAAGATAAGGGCCAAATGTGATGATGATAAGGTGGTTTTATAGAGTGCAATTTGTTTCTAAGGAAATTTATATCTAAAGCATTCGTTTCGTTCGTAATCACACATTCGAGCAGTATTTTAGGTCAGGCGACGCAATATATCTCTCTATCAATTATTGCTATAAATATGTACAAAGTGTACAATACGAGAATAAACGTTACAATCGTTTCATTCCAATTTCGAATGAGGTATTTTTTTTTATTTATGTATTCGAGATGTTTCAGAGTATTTTAATTTCAATAATTAGTCACTGTACAAAGAAGTGTTTTATGCCAGTAATACGACAAGTATGTCTAAATTAGACAAAGCTATGCGTCCCGAATTGTTATGTCCTGAAAAGCTATGTCTCATGGGGCATGCCAAAAGAGTTGGATCACAGATTGTTTCTTACACTATGCTTTAGCATTGAACAACTCAAATATGTTAGTAATATAATAATTAACAACTACTGACAAACCTATTTATGGGGTATGTCTATGTTCAGCAGTGGACAGTTAACAGCTAATAATGTTTAATTACATTTCTAATCCGACTACATATATTCTTTTTCAATTCGAGAATAAAGATTTTTTTTTTTAATTCGATATGTAAAAGACCCTAATAAGTGGCCAGTATCTATTGTTTTTTTTCTCGTATTGTAACACTTTAATATAGCTTAAGCGTATATAAGCTAGCTGCACATTAAATATTTTGGAATAAATGATATTATACTAATTTCCGATTGCAAACATCCTCGATTTAAAGCGTTCTTCTTATATAATCTATAATCGAGCGTTCACAATCGATCCATACTCATGATAAATAATTTTCGTCTGTGGTTTTTGGAATGACCTATTGTGGTCTTGGGATACAGTCTTATATAACCTTCATAACTTAATATATGTCTACATGAGTATGGATTTATAAACAGAGGCGAATTAAGGGCGAACTATAGGGATTCATAATCTGTAGTGCATTACACGATCTTTTTAAATTGAAACAATAATAATGGTGACAGTTGGCAAACCTCCTCGCTACTTCGTCTAGGATACAGTATTTGTTTCTTTACACATATATCTTTTCTTTATCATAAAGAAAAATATAGCATCACATGTGTTAAGATGAAGAAATATGTACACTAACAAAGGCACTGGGCAGATAAAATATTCAAGATAAAAAAGTGACATCCCTTCAGCCCCTGGCGCCACCTTAGATCCGCCCCTGTACTAACGACTAGATTATCATAGGATAACTTGAGACATTTGATTAGCATATCGATATCTCTTCCTATCTACTTCTACTTCCGTGTCTAAGCCACGTTTCACAGCCATACTGTTAGACGGTTGTACCGTATCTATGCTAGCGTCTACTAGTCTATTAGATCTACAATACCTGTATTCTGACGGGTTGTCGACCCTCTGGCACGTTGTGGTAGTCGGCAGTTGCAGCGGGCGGTAGTCCTGAGCGGTCGGTGCACTGTCGTTCAAATCCAACACACTGTATGTGGTGTCGGTTTCCACAGGGCGTTGGCGGTAGTCGTTGAGGTAGCTGGTGCTGCAAGTGCTCGATGCGGGCGACACTTGGTACGGAGACGTGCACGGGGTGAGGTTCGGTGACGTATGTGCACTGCTGTACCCTTGATCGGCTTCGGTGTCCACTTGGGTTTCCCGAGACTTCACCATTTGCATCATCCTGTGAAGAAGGAGCATGTTAGATGTGTAATAGTGAAATAATTATATTTTAATACATCATACAGTCAGGATTTCGCTTCGGTAGTATAACCATCAACGGGATATCGACCAATATGGAATATCAACCGTCTTTTCGGCCTTTGATCATCATGTTTTAGATTTTTAGAAACTGATACTAAATAAAATAAAACTAGATTAACGAATTGGAAACATACATTGAGAGTTTCGTACGTAAAATAATTTGTTAAAAAGTTTTGTTTTTTTTTTTTAAATGAAAAATTATTTGAATATGTAGATATGAGGTAAATAAACCATATGTGATTATATTATTTCTTATTAAATGTATATTATATACATAATACCTACAAAATATAGTTATAATTAGAAATTTATAATTTTCTTGATAAAAACGTATAACCAAGTTTGTTTCTGACAATTTTCAAGTTTTTTTCTTCTATAGGTACAAATTATTTTGAGTTTAGGTAGATTGTCACAACTTTCATAGAATGACCTCTGGTGGGATAGGCCATAATAATGATGATTTTTAAATTTTTTTATTAAGTGTCAATAATCACTCCATCGAACTGATCTAATCATCGAAATAGGATATCTTGTGTTTTTTTTTTGATGGGTGAAAATGGTATGGTAGCCCCGCCTGCGCTAACGGGACACGCTGGTGGAGCACCAGTGAAGGGTGATAGATGAGAATGAAAACAGGCTAGTTAGCCCATCATGATGAATTCATCAGGATTAAACCATGATAGTTTCCAGGGGGAACTGCGAGGAGGTCGACCTGGTTGGGTATATTGCTAACAATCCCTTTCGCCCCGTATATCCTGTGTTACGAAAAACTAGGTAAAATAAAACTTGCTCCTTAGGATATTGAATATCTGGAGCACAATCTGGGTATTGGGGAGGCGTATGTTCAGTGGATGCGATGAGGGCGAGGGCACGTACTTTTGCAGCAGGCGCGCGACGGGCGCGACGGCGGCGTGGTCGCGGCCGGCGCGCGCGGCCAGCCAGGCGGGCCAGGCCGCCAGCTGCAGCCCGGCGCGCGCGCACGCCACGCACGCGCAGCCCACGTCCACGCTCTCCAGCGCCACCAGCCGCACGTCTGCGGGCGACACACACGTCACTCACTTCAAATCCACTACCAAAAACGCTACACGCTACTAAACAAATAATTACTTTTAAAAACTAAATTGCTCAACAGATTTTAATAAAATTTGTCTTTTATTTATTTATTTATAAAAGATACACCAACAATATGTTCACAATAATTAAACAGTTTGTACGATGTTATTAGTAAGTACTGTAAAATTGACTATTCAAAAATTCTTAAATCTAAGTTTACTTGAACAAAAACATTTCTTTTTTCCTTTTATTTTTATTTTTTCTTTCGTCTTTATCCTTTTAGATAAAAAAAAAAATCCAAATCGGTTTACAACTGACGGAGTCTACTGAAAACTGCTTATCCAAATGCCAAATGCATATTATGCCAAAGAACTATAGATATCTTAAACCATGGGATATCGTTAAAATAACATAGGGTCTATGAAATGATGATATAAGGCAGGGGGAAGCACAAAAGATCCCAATGAGTCGACGTGCAATGGTTTAGCTGACCCCAAAATAATAATAATAATATAAGCCTTTATTAAAGAAGTAACATAATAAAAAAATGTAAATAATATTCAATCAAACTGTTCTGAAATTCCTCTCTTTTCCAAAGACAAAGGCCTCCTGAAAATCTTCCATTCTATTCTGTCTTTGGCTATCCTTGTCCAAAATGAGACTGCTTTTATATCTGTAACCCATCGAGTCAGTGGTCTTCCCTGTCTTCTTTGGCCTATTCTAGGGTACCAGTCTGTTACAGTTGTTGCCATAATATGTCTGCCCATCTCCATTTTAATTTTTTTATTGTATAAATAACATTTTTGAATTTTGTTTTCTCTTTAATTTCTACTAATTTAACCCTATTCTTTATTTTAATGCTCCAAGACACTTCTTTCTATGCTGTTTTGACATCCATTTTAATTTTTTAAGATTTTTTTCAGTTAATGGCCATGTTTGACACCCAATGTAAGACAAGGTAATATGCATGTATCAAACACTTTCTTTTTGTCATTCATATATATATATTTGCTTTTTCATAATCTCTTTTAATGACCAATACCTATTCCATGTATTGAGGATTCTCTGTCAATCTCTTTGTTTGTGTCATTTGCAAGAGAGATTATTTGGAGATATAAATATTCCTCAACATAGACATCGTTTTCCATTCAACAGTTTTTGTGACCATTTGTTAATACCTTTGTTTTCTTGATATTGAAGACAAAGTCCAGCTTTCATGCTATATCAATAGTTCTTGAACCATGATTTGCAAGTTTTCAGAGCTGTCTGTGAGAAGAACTATGTCATCCGCAAATCGTAAGTGTTGTCAAGAGAGGCCGTTTATATTCAAACCATAATGATATAATCCATTTTTCGTAATATCTGTTCTAGTCAGTTGTGAATAGTTTAGGGGAGATGGGATCCCCTTGTCTAACGCCTCTTTGTATAGGAGGGTTGTCCTGTTCTTTCTAATCTTACTTTTGCTGTACTCTTATAATATATGTTACGCAATAATCTTATGTATTTGAGTCTCTATGCCCCACCTGCATCCGTAAAGCCTCCCATAGGGACTCATGTTCATTATGCCATATAATCAAAAAACACAGGTAATAATCTAGGCTGTAATTGGTATTTTTCTACAATGAGTTTAACTGTATGTATGTGATCTAGATTCTGTGACTTCTGAAACCAGCTTTTCTTTTGACTGGTTTTCATCCAATATTTACTATATTATATATCATAAAAATACTTTGTAAATCATAATCTAATTGGCCTGTAATTATTTACATCGTTTTTATCTCCTTTCTTGTGCATTAATGTAATTACAGATTCAGTCCATTGTGCGTGGGGATCTCTTCAGTTTCTAAAATCTGATTGAATAATTTTGTTAGTTGTGGTGCAATTATATGAACATTTCAGGAGCTCATTTGTAATTTGATCTTCTCCTGGTGACTTTCCATTTTTTTGATGGAAGGATGGCCTTTTCTGTTTCTCTTACTAATATTTTTGGTACTGGACATTGATAATTATTTTCTTCTTTAGTTAATTTATTACTAATTTTATGGGATGTATATAAATCTTTATTTTTGCTATATTTATAATTTTATCTTGCATGTATTTTGTTTTTTATTATTTATCAACTTGGTTGATACTTTATATGTTTAGTTCTTTTATAGCCTTTTTTACTCCTCCAGTTTTTTCAATATGTCTTTTAATAATTAATTAATAAAAATGACCTGTATGTAATTTTCTTACTAATGTCAGTAATCTTTTTGACAAAAAGCTTTGCGTCGTACAAATTTTAAGAAGAAAATCTTATTCTTGTATTAGTTCAAAAGTTCTTAGAAAAGTAAAATTTGAATTAATCTTTCGAAAAGCGCGCGTATATTCTTCTTGCACCGAACTGGGTTTCTCATTAATATTCTAAGATTAAAATATTCATGGATATTTTTAGTCGCGAGTTATGTAATTGTGTACTTTCAACTTTTTAGCTATAATGCGTTTTGTGATTTGCGCTTATTAATATCTAATATATACTAACCATTCTGTGGTTGCGAAGAGAAATTTAAGTTATTGATAACATTGACATCATTAATTAAATTTGTTTATTACATAATATGAAATCGAGCTTCCAAACATTAAAATTGCGACCATTTGGATGTTGCCATGACCGGTTCGACGTTAGATAAAGAAACTGTTCATAATTGCTAATCTATGTTCTAATGCAAAAGTCGACAATTCTTTGACCATTTTGACTTCTTAGACCTTGACTATGTTGACGTTGAGTGCATTAAAAATAAAATAGGACAAATATAAAACACTATATCCAACAAAGATTGAGATTTCTTATGCCTTTTTACAAAATTCAGTTGAAAATCCCATTCAATTAAAAGCCACTCACCTGAGAACTGATGCTATTCAGAGAGTGAATTATGCTAATGAAATGTTTAATCGGTTTACTTCTGTTCACATAACTGCGCATAATGTTCTCTGATGAGGCACACTTCCATCCATTAACGGAATGCCGCACAGTTGAAGTGAAACAGGGTCTTCAAATCGGCGCTATTGACCTTTTCTTCGCGATTAATCCAAAATTTTGCATATAAGTTGAATTTACATAGATTCTCTAAATAGGTTTCTGATTTGGTGGCCGCTTAAATATATGTAATACCAGAGACATCGATCATACACAGTTGACCATTGTTTTTGAGGATTTTACGGCAGAGAGCGTGCTGATATCCAATATAACTGTGTGGCGATAGAATGTGGCCACCCCGTTCATTCCTGTAAGTGTTGTAAGAGAGGACTAAGATAATAATGATATAATCCCATTGTTAGCAATATACCCTGTCAGGTCAACCTCCACGCGGTGCCCCCTGGTAACCAACGCGATTATTTATTGTACAACTCATTGCAATACTGCTCATCCGTTATCCGTCATCCCTTTTGTCCAAACAAAGTATATCTTTAAGAGAGGGGGAGACATTTCCATTATGCATTAAAAAATCACCATAATTCTCAGAAATGGCAGCACGTGAGAGGTACGATGGGCACAGTGGATTCTGTGACATTTACCATTTTTCATTAACTGCCAGCTTATTTACTATACTATATATCATCAAAAATAAATAAATAAAATTTAAAAACATCCGCAGAGAAATGGTAAGCATTTCAGCAGTGACGTGCCGCGCAGTCATCGACAATTTCAGAAGGCGTTTGCAAGAGTGCCGTGACTGTAACGGATTACATTTGGACGACGTTATTTACAAAAAATAATTCCCATATTTTGTGGGCTATATCGAGACAAATGAAAATGTATATTTATTCATAGTGTAATTAGTTTTATTTTAATTATTTTTTTTCATTACTAAGGACTTATGGGCCAAAATTAAGAAGAAAATCTTATTCTAGTATGTGCAGTGTTAAATTAACAATTATAAAATTTCTTAGTAAACCAACAATTACCAGAGACTTTGTACAAAAGTCGTTTGTTTGGGCACCTCTGTCCCATTCGTGTTTCTACTGTGAAGCAGTTGTATTTGCATATCGATGTTTCGATTTTGAAGTGTAGGATATGGCAATGAATTTACAGGATACAGAGGAATAACACCAAAGTCGAGAGAGTGTAGTATAAAAAAATACTAACAGATTAGTTTCAAAGAAATTTTATCAAAATCTTTTCAGTAGTTTAGGTTTTAAATTAAAATAACTGGTGTTGCCATAATTAAAGTCGGCGTTTTGTGGGACACAATTTAAATTGTACGAGAGCGAAGTGCCTATCTATGGAAAGCGATTCATGTATAGTGCATGCAATGCAGTAAAGTATGTATTTTGTATTTTGTCAATTAATTGCTAATTAAGCACTACTTGTACTAGGTTAATGTTTCGCCCTAGATAATAATCGGCACAATCTTCTTAATTGTTATTTAATATTCTTATATATTAAACTAGCGACCCGCCCTGGCTTCGCGCGGGTACACATTACATCACGTCACATTAGAAATCTCTAAATTTATCAATGTTTCTCTACAATATTATGCGTGTATTATACATATAAACCTTCCTCTTGAATCAGAATCCAGTGGGAGTATTTGTACAAAAGTCGATTGCTTGGGTACCTCTGTCCCATTCATGTTTCAACCGTAAAGCAGTTGATTGCATGGCTGTGTTTCGGTTTGACGGGTGGGATATGTCGTGAATTTACTGGGTACGGAGGTATAACACCCAAGTCCTCAGGTATGGCAACGCATGGGAGGTATCATGGGCGAAACAGTATATTCTATTATGTCCATGGTACTGCTCAGGTAGGCCGTCAGCTTGTTTGCCATTCTAAGTTGTATAAAAAAAACTATCTATTTAAAAAAAAAACCGCTTCAAAATCCATTGCGTAGTTTTAAAGATTTAAGCATACATAGGGACGGATAGACAGCGACTTTGTTTTATACAATGTAGTGATATGTTTTTATAACACGTATCATGTTTCCCTTTTAAGTTGAAACGCCTGTTGTTTCCACGCTTGGCAGCCGCAGTTAAGCTTTGGTTGTTTGTTTTAAGAGGGACGCTACTGCCCATCCCTCTACTCTACCATTAAGTTCCCTTAGTCGTCAATTCTTGTGAATTTCGTCACGATGAGCTAACTGACCTGCTTTCATCCTCGCGTATTGCCCCTCATTGGTACCCCACCAGCGTATACCGACAGCGCAGGCGGTGTTACCATTCCATATCATCCATTAAAAAAAAGACACCAACGGGAAGAGAAGGGGTGGTCCATTCTATGTTGGGACCACTCGGTAAGGGCATGATGTTGTGTATTACTATCGTACATATTCATTTTGTGACAATTTAAACTAAATGACATCAGCGTATTTGATGAAATTTATGTAAATTTCAATGTATCACGAAAATGCGTATAATGATAATACTTTGCTAATTAGATGTAAAATTAGTATGAAATTAACGGAGTTACATACAAAATTAAAACTATTACGTGCTAATGTTGTATCATTTTATATGTAATAATAGTAATCACTACATAGTATAAAATATAATCGCTGTCGCTGTCTGTCCGTCCCTATGTATGTTTAAATCTTTAAAACTACGCAACGGATTTTGAAACGGTTTTTTTAATAGATAGAGCGATTCAAGAGGAAGGTTTATATGTATAATACATGCATAATATTGTAGAGAAACATTGATAAATTTAGAGATTTCTAATGTGATATCGTAAATAAACACATTTTTTGTGTTTACATTGCAAACGTTGGCTGAATCCTACGAGATAAATCAAAATAATGTATTACAGTATTGTTCACCTTAAAAAGGTCAATAAAAAAGTCCGCAATGATATATGTCTATCTCTTAAGGATAACCCACAATAACCAGGGGGAAAAGGATTGTTAGCAATGGAGTTTGACAGCCCCATCGCTAGCAATATATCTTATTAGGTCGACCTCCACGTGGTTCCCCCTGGAAACCATCGTGAATAATTCTTGTTGAATTCGTCACGATGGGCTAATTGACCTGCTTCATCCTCACCTATCATTCTTCACTGGTGCCCCGCCGGTGTATACCGACAGCGCGGGTGGGGTTACCATTTCATTATCATCCATTTAAAAAAACCCACAATAACCATTTTTTATCCTTTACATTTTACGAAAAAAAATGGCTTATTTACGTAGTGATTTTAAGCAATACATTAATTTTTATCCAATTAAGTACCTTAAATACATTGTCAATTCAATATAGATAAATATGGCTCTTTACAGCATGTAATTTAAATGAATATTTCAGAAGATATTACAGATTTAAAATGCAGGGACATAACGGGCGCGGTATTGCACCCGTGCGAAGCCGGGGCAGTGTAGTATAAAACAAAGTCGCTTTCCGTCTATCCGTCCCTATGTATGCTTAGATTTTTAAAACTACGCAACGGATTTTGATGTGTTTTTTTTTTAATAGATAGAGTGATTCAAAAGGAATGTTTATATATGTAATACATGCATAATAACACTGATTTGCCTGCGCTAACGGTTGAAACGGGTGAGGATAAAGCAGGTCAGTTAGCCCATCGTGACGAATTCAACAAGAATTGTTCACGATGATTTGCAGGGAGAACCACGTGGAGGTCGACCTATTAGGGCATATTGCTGGCAATGGGGCTGTCAAACTCCATTGCCAACAATCCCTTTCCCCCCGCTGTCAAACAGTTGACCCGTTTTTGAGGCTCGATACTCTATCCATAGATTCTACGAACGTTACATAGAATACTTAGATATTTATAGTTGTTTAGATGCTTACTTATAATCTGTACTGTACATTAAAGCCATTATATCGTAAACGAAGAAAAGTATTGTGCAATAGAGTTTAATGTGATGAAATATGGTGTAATTACATCATACACTAATATAATATCAGGCAACGTGTAATTAAGTAATAGTTGCATCAATTTCATCAGAATTGCCACTACAATTTAAACTCTATTTTAAAATGCACGATTGAAAAGTGCAAAAAAGCAATTTCGAATGTACATGTTACAATTAATTAATTATTGAGCAGTCACTTTAAAATGCTTATTAAAAATTAATTATATGCACGATTAGATGACGTGGTATTTAACACATTACGATATTTGAATGATTCGTTCAAAACGATTTCAAATATACTTGTACATTCCTTTGTCTATAAATTGTTATGCTATTAAACAAGCAAGGCTTTGTTCAGTAAAGAAAAGTCGGCTACAATCTTTGCAAACGTAATATGACCAATATGGGGGTAAACATAAGAGGGTTGACGTCAGGCAGGTGGCCGGTCGTAAAACTAAAAACCAAGTCTTTTTGTAATATGGACAAAATCATATTACGCTGACCCCAAATTATTGGGATAAGGGTAAGAAGATGATGATGATGGGGGTAAACATAATGTTTTGTAAAAATAATCATTGAAATTGGTACAGAATGGGAAGATATATTTTATGCAACATAATATGGCAAACGAACTGACAACCCACCTGATAGAATGTGGTAACCGTCATTTATAGACAGAAATAATACTATGACTATGACTACACTGTAATGACTATGGTACCCTCATATTGGGGGAAAAGGGATTGTTAGCAATGAGATCTAACAGCCTCATTGTTTGTAATGCTACTAAACAGGTTGACTTCCACATGATTCCCCCTGGAAGCCTTTGTGATTACTTCTCATGAATTCGTCACAATAGACTAACTGACCTGCTTTCATCTTCATTCATCATCTTTCACTGGTGCCCCACCTCACAGTTAGCATAGGCGGGGTTACCATTTCTACTATTGCATTAGAAACAAACTTTGCCTTACTTGTGGTTTAATATTTTATGTCACCATACCCTGTAATTTCACTGCCACATTTTATCTTTGAAATCATACAACCATGCAAAGCTATTTCATATATGGAATATGTTCACTGACCGAGATAAAATGTAGCCTATATCCTTCTTTATGCTTTACAGTACATAATACCAAATTTAATAGTAATTAATTATGCTATTAAGTCACTAAGATATAACAAAGGTGGGCCGTCAGCTTGTTTTCCATTCTAAGTTGCATAAAAAATAACACACTTTCATGTTTGTAACATCAGTATAAGGAAAATATTAAGTGCCATACATCACTTGGTGGGTCCACAAGCTTGACAACTCTATGTTACTGAGAAACCAGGCAATGGAAACCTGGAGACACTTACCCAGAACAATAACAAGTTGTTTTGTTTAAAAAGTTTGTTTTCTAAATTTACCCAACAGAGACTCTAATCCGGGATCTCAGTTACACAAGGGAACATGTTCACCGTTGCACTAAAGCAAGTGTGGGCGTGTAAAAGATTAATTTACGAAATAAATACCTGTGGTGACTGTAGGTGGATTGTGGGTTTCTCAGCTTCCTGTTCCAGCAGGTTTTTCCATATTTCCTCTCTGTACTCAGTGTGGTATTCTTCATCAGGGTCTATTATTGGCTGCAAAAACAAATAATAATTAATAACATACAAAATCAAAGTCAACATCTGTTTATTTCTAATGCAATAGTTTCAGATAATTTATGTATTTATTATTGTTTCATATTTCAATACCATATTCCAATTTTAAACATTAACAACACAAATATTTGGATTTCTGAGTTCTCAGTCCACTTGGTATTATAAAAATAAATACTATCATAAAAAAGAAATTATTTTATGTCATACTATTTTTTTTTAATAAAGTGAGGACACATTGTTTCTATAATTTACTTATTTAGAGATATTGATTTTAAATACACATTTATCATTATAGGAAAAAAAAATTACATATATTAAATTTAGCTTATACTTCACATGAACTATATTTTTGTACAGATAGACTGTCTAAACACAACAACTCTATACTTTCTATATTACAGATAAGGGTTAATTTAAAATAATAAATTAGAGGTTTTGTAGTCAGTGACCAGCCCTAACCTCATTTTCTTATCATCATGTTAATTTTGCGTATATTAGTGGTTTTTACATAATTGTTAGTGTATATATGTTCTATTGCACGTTTATATTTATGATCTTATATATATAATGGCCATATAACTTTTTATGGTCATGTGAAAACTGATCCTCGTTCTTTTAAAATATGAAACAAAGTACAATATATTGGAGCATATGTTTTATTCAAGATTTTTCTATCATTTATAAGAAATGCATACGATAGAAAAAATTTGTCGCTTACATTGGGATTGTATCTTGACACTGTTGTCTCGACTTTCGGTTCATTTTCTTTTGATGTGTGGCTCCTAACACTCGACAAGTTGAGTTGGGACATGTTTAAGGACTCCATTGCAACGTAATAATGCGGTCAAGAACTTTAAATGTAGCGAGGTTCTTGTAACACGTCGACGGGTTCTGACGTTCACCACGTGGAAACTAACGTCAAAACTACCGTGAAAACCACGATAGGAAAGTAATTTTCACTATATTTGCTGCATACAATGAAAGGGTACAATCGTAGAACTCATTTAAATATTACATTATTTAACAAAGCGTTTTAAAAATAAATTATTTGATATTCGAATATTAACATGATACTAAAGAAGTGATGGTATGCAGTCTTGACAAAAGAATGAATAGATAATGAAATGAAATGAAAGACATATGTGTACCTTTTTTTTTCTAATAATGTATTTTACGGCTTTAGAATACATTATGATTGCCAGAAGCATTTTTGATTTTTAACCAATTGTCAAATACTTTTTTTTCCAAATCGATGCAATTTTTCACTTTTAATCAATCACAAACTTGCATCAATTTTCACTACGTTTTGCCATGAATTACAAAATTAACGACGAAATAAAATTCTTATATATATATTTTCTTCATGGCGACGAAGGCCCCAAATAAATAGTAAAAGATATGGCAGTGATGACAACAAATATCGTCTTCATTCTCCTTTTATATTTTATATTCATTATTTATATTTTATATCGACATCTCTAGTGACGTACAGTTCTATGGCCACCTCAAAGATAAGGTAAATCTGGCACCCAAAAAGCTTGGTCTGCTTAATATAGCGTAGTAATACTTTACGCTGGATCAACGATTAATGCTGTATTAATCGCAAATCCGGCCCTGCATGGAGTATTACTGTTACTTATGGGTGGAAATACCTAAATATGAGCTTGAATCCTTGCTACGAGCTATGAGAATTGTCGCTGATCCCAGGCTTACGAGCAGTATCAAGCCCTTAAGTCTCAAGAGAGATTTTGTCTGACTATCTGTTGTATCGCTTGTACAATGGACTATGTTCAGAGGAATTGCTTAAAATAATACCCACGGCTAGAGATGGGCAATCCACCTGGGTGGGTTTAAAGTCTGGTGGGTAAAAACCGGGTGTTTTGGGTTTATTGGGTTTAAACCCCATAAACACCCAAATTTTTGGGTGTTTATGATTTTGTACTTCATCATCGTCATCTCAGCCGCAAGACGTCCACTATACTGGACATAGACAATATTATTATGCAGCCTACAGAATAAAAACTTTTAATTTGATTTTGAGTTTATTAAGAAAGAGATGAAAGTAAAATGTAAAACTACAGTCAATCACTGTCAGATTCAGAGTTATTACAAGCGATGAATTGTATAGGTTCGATAGGCTCTATTTCGTCTAAACTGTTATGTTCATTTACTTGCTCAATGAAAGCTTCTAAGGTATTTTCTTCATTAAACTGAATGTCCTCGCATTCAGCTTTATGTTTAAGATTCCAGTTATAACAAATGAATGAAATTTTTTCAGTTCTTTCAGTTGTAAGTCGATTTCTTTTGTTATTATGTATGTAGCCTTGGATACTAAAGGAACGCTCAGTGGCTGCCGAAGTACAGGGAGCTGATAGAATACGAATCGCTACTTTGCTTAACTCAGTGGAACCACAAATACCTTTCCACCATATTAGGGGCTCAATGCTATCTAATGAGCTCCATACAAATCCTCTGGCCCAAAAGTTTTCTTTAGCTTTATAACACGCCAAATCTGCCATTACATTTGACAAACTTAAGTGTTGGCTTAAATTGTAGATAAACTCCATACCCTTAAGTTCTTCCTCTTGAGTAAGTTCGACTCCTAGAGTCCTGGGGTCTAGAATATATGCTGCAAAATGTATTGGCCTCATTGCCATATTGCATCTTGAAGATACTGATGTTAGAATCTGCTGTTTGCTTTCTTCGCTCAATGTCGAAATCTCATTTAATGCAAAACGTATCTTAGCTTGTACATCTCTAAATGTAATGTACGAGGTTTGTCCGGAAAGTACGTATAAAAGTTTTTTAAAAATTTTATTTTACAATTATTCAGGTAAATCAATTTTATCCCCTTCAAAGTACTCCCCCTGTGACATAATGCACTTGTGCCAACGCCGTTTCCACTGTGAGAAGGCTCCTTGAAAGTCCTCTGGTTGTAGGTTTCTCAGCTGCCCCGTCGTAGCTTTTTTTATCTCATTTATGTCCCCCAAATGCCGCCCCCGAAGTACCAATTTGGTTTTTGGGAACAAGAAGAAGTCACACGGGGCCAAATCCGGCGAATAGGGGGGTGTTCGGTCACCGTAATGGAATTTTTACTCAAAAACTCACGGACAACAAGAGAGGTGTGGGCAGGGGCATTGTCGTGGTGAAGAATCCAACGCCCCTCTCGCGCCAATTCTGGACGAACTCGTGCCACACGAGCTTTGAGGCGTCTGAGCACATCGACGTAGAATTTTCCATCAACTGTCTGGCCTGGAGGGACGAATTCTTGATGGACAATCCCCCGAACATCGAACTCTTTCTCGGCCCTCTCTGAATCTTTTTAGCCACTTGTGGACGGTTGGTTCCTTCACAGCATCATCCCCATAAACTGTTCTGAGATCGGCAAAAATTTCACGGCCATTCTTGCCGAGTTTCGAGAGAAACTTGATTACGACGCGCTGCTCTTCAACGGAAGCGGGCTCCATGCCGACGGGGTTTCGTTAAGAGGTAACTTCACAGATGGCGTGACAAGCCAGTTCGCACCGCACGGCGGTCAGACCAGAACTGAAGCATTGTTAGGGACATAAGGAAGGGGTCCTGCGCTTACCTGGCCTCCCCACTCCTCTTTCTCGCATTCCAGAACACTTTTATACGAACTTTCCGGACAGACCTCGTATGTGCGATGCAAACGATTCTGGTCGCTCTCTAAGTAAAATATGCTTTCAGTGACTGGTTCCAAAATACTTATACATTCCCCTGTCTTCGTCCAGAAATCATCACTTAGAATTAAATCTTTAATATCTCTTGAAATTACCACATCTTCTCTAACTGTTAATATTTGCAAAGCTATCTTATTTGCTTTCAAACTTTTTAACGAAGTAACATGACTTCCCCATCTTGTAGCACAAGGCAATTTTAGTGTTTGTGTAGAATCTTCACCCTGCCTTGATTTTATCAACAAGGAACTTAATCGTTGACTCCTTTTAACAGTTTTTATTATATTTATGGCTTGCATAATAAACACAGTTACTTCTTGTATCTTTACAATATCTTGGCACAACAAGTTAAGGATATGTGCACAGCAACCGAGAGGAACAACATGTGGATATTTGAGTTTTGTTAATTCGAATGCCTTTTGTATATTTCTAGCGTTATCGCCAATAAGTACAAGAAACTTATTTGCTCCATACACTTTCATTACTTTTTCAACTTCTTGGCTAAGGTATTCACTAGTGTGAGGATTACTTTCTGTATTCAAACTTTTAACGTATGCAGGTTGAGGTTTTGATATAAGAAAGTTTATTATTCCTTCATTTCTTAAATTAGACCAGCCATCGCACTGAAGGTGTAAGTAACTACAAGCATTTAGTTCCTCATTTAACTCAAAACGCATTTCTCTATATATTTTATCTAAGTATTTTGTCGCTAAAGCTTTACGTGAAGGTATTTTAAATTTTGGTTGCAATTTTTCGAAAAATTGTATCCATAAAGGATGTTGCACCATCGATAATGGCGTCCCTGTTACAAATATAGCTCTCGCTAATTCTGTTTTTATATGATCATCGGTGTCTTGAAACTCAGCATTTATTGTAGTGTTAGCAGACGACGAGGGGCTTATAAAAGAATCATTTGTCTCTATCTCTGACAGTCCAGACATTTTGGTTTTGGACGAGCTATCTTTTATAAGTTTCATAGAGTCTTTTAATGTTTCTGGAGATTTTGGACAAGTGATAAGATGTTGAAGCATTTTGGCAGCATTACTGAATTTGTAGACCTTATTACAAAGCTTGCAAGAAACAGACTTGTTTGGTAAAGTACGGTAGTGCTCCCATATGCGTAAATCTTTAGGTCTCCCCATTGAACCTAAAAAAATGAACGATGATTAGTTGGTCTGACGAAAATTCAACAATAGAGTGCCTATTTTTTTACAATGATTATTTCTTGTTATTTACAATAAATTTATTAAAAAAATAATAAAATAAATACAAAAAACCTTTGTAAAATTACATCTCCTCGGAGGATTAAACGCAGACGCTAGTTTATTATCGTATTGTTCTGTATTTTTCTCAGCAACTTCTTTAATTCGATTAGGTACTTACGCATATTATGTTAAAAATAAATATCTAGTACACATCTTAGGCTATCCACCATTATTATCCAATGACGACTCTCAGCTAACTATGCACTATCATCCAAAATAAACGTGTATGGAAAATTTTATCCCAGTCGGTTGAGGATTGAGGATAATTGCATCAACATACGAACATACCTACATACTTTTATTTACATAACGCAAGCTAAATAAAAGCTTGTAATAATACATCTAATTTTAAGTTAAAATTGTTAAGTGATCATGATATAATTGTATCATTCAAAAATCCACTTACCTTTAATTATTTCTTGTTAAGTATAAATATTATTTCAAATCTGCTCCCTTAATATGCACTTTTTTACTGCTTTTCCTACCTAACACGTTACCAGGAAGTCACGTTACCAGAGTCAGAGTAATAGTGAACACGTTTGACAGTGATTGTCGTCGCCTCATATTCAGCGTCGACGAATAGGGGAATCCCCAGTCATAATGTATTGCATGCGTGGCGGTCTTACTTCAAATCCATAAACAAAGAGATAATTACAGAACTCGATACTAGATGGCGCTGTTTTTGTTTGAAGAAAGTTTGCGGGCTAAAATACATAGAATTTCATCAATGACTTCCACAAAGAACAACATTTCTGTTTTTTCTAAGTCCGTATCTCTTCCGTATATTTCATAAGATATAAGCTTGGGCTACATTGTTATGCAACGTGATTTTGTCGCTGTCTTGCTAGCAGGATTGACTTGCTTGCTTGATTTAAATCGTACTCATACTATTATTTGTCTATTTTTTAATGTACGATCGTAAAGATTATGATCGTAATTCGCACAAAAACATACGACTTTTTGGTTACCTGGCAACATTTTTATTATGAAACGAACATGCTCACATCATCAGTCACATGCAACAATTTATTGGGGATTTCCCCTTCACATCTGGCAGTCCTGCTTGCTAGAATATAGGTAAGTCAGCCACAGTTACTGACGATCGATATTTAAAGGGTATTGTTTTTGTGCTAAATATTTCATAAAAACGTTATTTAATACTTTGTGGATTATTAATTTAGTTGATAATCACTGGAAGTAAAATGGATGCTAATTTGAGAGATCAAGATCTTCGTATAAAACAGTTAATAAAAGAAAATCTACGTAAGTACTCTTTTTATACCTAGGTAGGTAAGGTATAATAAACACAAAAGGTACTTAGATCGCGTGTGTTCGAAGCATTTATTCTAATAAATTTAATTTAAAATTGTAGAAAGAAAAAAATGTCTGCCAAGCCGTAGCCGAAGCCGATCTCCAAATATATTTGGCGATAGTGAGACCCAGTGTCCAGATGATTTACCCAGCGTCGTCGCAACAAAGAAAAAAACGAGGATAAAGTAAAAGAAAATTTACTGAAAGAAGAAACAAACTGTTCTAAATGCTTAATTTATGGAGAAGAGGATAAAAGAAATGAGTATTTCGGACTGTTAGTGGCTCAAGAATTTAAATATATACGGCCATGTGTGCGAACGAGGTGTTATGAAGAAATTTTAAAGTATCTACGGGAAGCAAAAGGCCAACATGTTGATCAACTGCAACATGAAAACACTGAAAATTAATTACTTTCATTTTATTATATATAGATTTTTAAAATTTCCTGAAATATTATTAGTTAACGTTTTATTTAATATTGTAGAATTGATCAATACAATTTATAAAAATAATTTATTGGTATTACTTACATATTTTCAAAAAAATACGTAAAAACCTATTTTTTTGGGTGATTATGGGAGTTTATGGGTGTTTATTGGGTTTTTACCAAAGCACCGGGTTTAAACCCGGTGCTTTGCCCATCTGTACCCACGGCCACTTTTTATCACTGTACAGATCGCCTAGGGAGTTCACTCTCCCTACCTTAGAACCTAAATGGTCACGAAAAGCATGTTTTTTCTAATGGGATAATAACCCCGCCTTAACTATTGAGATATGCTGGCATGGCACCAGCGAGAGATAATAGATGAGCGTAAAAGCAGGTCAGTTAGCGTTTATGAAGAATTCCACGAGAATTAACCATGATGATTTCCAGGGGAACCGCGTGAAGGTCGACCTGATAGAGTACATTGCTAATGGGGTTGTTAAATTTCATTATTAACAATCCGTTCTCCCCTCCCACCTTTCCCCCCGTGCAGCACAGTTTCAGAGATGTTTTCTCCTCTGTCGAGGTTTTTTTCAACTCAGCTGCTCAGCATAGGATTATTCAAAAAGAGAGTCCACAATGCGCGTGTAGTACCTTTGGTATTACAGGCGTTCATAGGCTACGGTAATCGCTTACCATCAGGTGAGCCGTATGCTTGTTCGCCACATCTGATTTACATCTACCGAAACCGCTAAAAATATTAAGTTTTTTCAAACACAATTAATTTTTCTCCCAGATTTTCATTTCCCAAAAATTTCGTATTTATTAAAATGTTTACCTAAAATAGTGAAATAAATATCTTATATGGCAATGCTGCCAGCTCTAAATAATATGCAAAAATTACTCAGCGAGCTATGGAGTGAGCTATGCTATGTGGAGTCTTTTTGCGTGATAGAATCCGAAACGAGGATATCCGCAAAATAACCAAAATATGTCGGATACATAGCCCGAAAGATAAGCAAGCTAAAGTGGCAATAGGCTGGTCACATAGCTCGAAGAACTGATAATCAATGGGGAAGAAAGATTCTTGAGTGGCATTCACAGACGGGTAAACGCAATGCAGAGGGGGGGAAAGGGATTGTGAGCAATGGAGTTTGACAGCTCTATTTCTAGCAATAAGCCCTAATAGGTCGACCTCCACGTGGTTCCCCCTGGCAACAATCGTGAACAATTCTTGTTGAATTCGTCACGATAGGCTAACTGATCTGTTTCATCCTCACCTATCATCCTTCACTGGTGGCCCGCCGATGTATACCGATAGCGCGGGTGGGGTTGCCATTCCATTATCACGCATTAAAAAAAAAGCAATGTAAGATGACCCCTACTAGATGGAGTGATGACCTGGAATGCATTATATGAAGTTAGTGGATGCAGGTGGCTCAGGACTGTTCTTTATGGCAGTCTATGGGGGAGGCTTATGTCCAGCAGTGGATGAATAATGGCTTAAATTATGAAGATGATAGTACTACTGATAAAATAAAACTGTTAATCAAATAGTTGCCTCCTTTCTTCTTATGCAAATATAATTAGTAAAAAGAGGACGACAGATACATCATAAGTCGTTATTTTTTTGTTTTGATTGTTTGATAGGTCTTCAATTATTTGTCAATGATAAATTTTACATTACTAAATTATATATTAGACACAGTTTATGTAGAAAGTATTCAAGCAGGTTGTGTTTGAATTTGGTAGGGTTATATGCCGGCCGTATGGCCGTATAACATTTTCTGTAAACCAGCCTGCTACGAATTGACAATTTTATCACTCCTATGTAGAGATGGGATTTTACCCGGAAAAAACCCTAATGTGGGAAAAAATAGGGAAAAAACCCGGGGAAAATTCCCGAATGGGAAAATATTCGGGTTTTTTCATATTTAGCATATGTAACATCTAGGTAATGTGTAGATACATGTATATATCAAATGATACATACTATTTAAGTACTATTAGTACTAGTTAGAGCTAATCTAACTTTGTTTACTTTCATAATTTAATAAATACTTTATATACATGTACTCCATGCTATCTAATTAAATTAAATGAAATTAAATAAAAAACCTTTCTGTTTATGTGTAGCGACAAGTAACCCGAAACTACGTATGCGGGTAGGGGGGCGGGGTAGCAGGTATTAGCAGTGGCGTACGCGTATCTGTCTATCTCACACGTTGTTTTGGCTTCGTACTGTTCGCACTTGCTTTAATTTGTTGGTTTAATTGACGACTTGGATTTTGTTTTGTGGACTTTTGATTTCCTAGTGATTAAATACGTTTTTTACTTTGGATTGACAACTACTGCTACTCTTACGGACTTCGATACCTACTTCTTTTTATGAACGGTAATTTACCGGTAAGTTTAAGCTTTAATAATTGTTATATTAGACTATAAAAGTTTTAGGTACTATATTTGTGGATTCCTTGCAAACCTTGTACTTTTATTCATTGAAATTGATATATTTTGATTTTCCAAGTTTATTTACTGTAGGAAATAAATATTTTACAAAAGTAGAAATGAGTCATGTATAGAAATGGCCAAACGCTCGGGCGTTTTAGGCAAATTGGGCAAAATATAAATTCCTTCTTTTGGCCATTTATATTTATTTCATATTAGTTCCGAATGTTCACCTACTCTGTAAATATACAATACTTTAGAACAACTCTATGCATTTCTACTGTTTTTACATTTTTTTTTCCTTAGATCACATCATGCCCAGAAAGAAAAATACTGATGTATGGGAAAACTATTTTCATTCGGCAACCAGTAAAACAGTAAAATGCAAACACTGTGATAAAGTTTACCAATTCGGCAATGTTAGCAAGATGACCAGCCATCTGTTGAAATGTTATAGATGTCCAACTGTTATCAAAAACAAACTACAGAAAATACCTGTTACTAGCACAACTGCCACAAATCTGCCCTTGCAAGAGGAATCACATCATGAATTGTCACAGGATAAAAGTTTGACGGATACAATTTCTATTATTACGACTTCATTAGAAATTTCAACAGAAAGAAAACTTTATCTAGATCAGCTCTTATCGAAGGCAATATTTGTTAGCGGTTCTCCTTTATCCATCGTTGAACATCCGCTGTGGGTACGATTTTTTGACAATTTGCAACCACTTTATAAGTTACCATCTAGAAAAGCTATCTCCACAACACATTTGGAAACTATTTATAATGAAATGGTCAATGAAATTACAGACGAACTGAAGTCTATAAATGATTTGCATTTGCAATGTGATGGCTGGAGTAATCAGCGCAATGAAGGCATCATCAACTTCATTATTGCAAAACCCGAGCCTGTTTTTATTAAAAGCCTTAATACTCTTACAAACCGACATACAAGCCAATATGTATCTCAAGAAATAATCAAAGTTATAAAAGTGTATGGAGGCCACAAATTTGTAACTCTTATCGGAGATAACGCAAATAATATTCAAAGAGCATTTCAGATAGTTAAAAATTCATATGCACATATAATACCGCTGAGATGTGTAGCGCATACATTGAATTTGCTTTGCGAAGATTGCTTAAAACTAGAGCCTATTAATGCGTTCATATCGATTGCCACAGATACGATAAAAGCAATAAAAAGAAACCAAAGTATGAGCGCTTTATTAGCTCAGATTGTAAAAGAAAAAGGTTCAGGTGAAACATTAAAATTGCCAGGGAAAACCCGCTGGGGCAGTTACTGCACTGCGTTAAAAAGTTTAAAAAAATCCAAAGTTGCATTACAGACTTTAGCTGTTCACGAAGATGCCACTATTTTAGACGAAATAAAATCAAATTTATTGGATTTAAATTTTTGGACCATGGTAGAAAATTGTATAAAGCTACTGGAACCTATAACAGACAAAATTTTCAAACTGGAAGGCAATGAAATACTTATAAATGAAGTTTACATGGCTTTCAAAGATATTAAGTCTACATTAAATTTTGCATTTCCAGATATATCTGTTCTAAATGAGCATCATAAACAACATATTACAAATGCTGTAATTAGGCGAGCAGATAACTGTTTGAAACCCATTCATTATGCTGCATATTTATTAGATCCAAGATCGCAAGGCATTGAATTAGAAGAAGAACACGAGGTGGATGCAATGGAATTTATACACGACGTGAGCCAATCGCTCAATATTGACGTTGGTGTAGATTTAGCCAATTATAGAGCTAAACAGGGTTTATGGAGCAGACCATTTATATGGAAGAATGTCGCTGAAATTGACCCGGTAGTTTGGTGGAGAGGACTCTGCAAGTCCAAATTGCTTAGTAGGGTTGCAGTACGTATTCTTACTGCTCCCTGTACTTCAGCAGCCACTGAACGATCTTTTAGCACGCATGCGCATATACATAGTCATAAACGAAATAGATTGACTACAGACAGGGCAGCAAAAATAGCTTTTATATCGTATAATTGGAACCTGTTACACAAACATAAAAATGATGACAATGACGATGATGACGAGTCGTTATCTACGCCCAGGCAATTATCAAGTCCGTTGGGTAGCCCAATAAATGAAGAACAACCTTCAACATCTCGTGGATATACACAAGAAATAGAATTTTGTAATATTAATAATATATTTAATGACTATGACAGTAGCGACAGTGACTAAAAATTTTCAATTGTAAAAAACTTTACAAAAGTGTTGTAACTTTTATAAAGTGTAATAAATAATTGTTAGTAAGTATCTATCTTTGTTTTATTTTTTTTTGGTCAAATATTCTTAAAAGCTTTAATAGAGATTCTTTCTGCAATTAAGTAACATTCCATCACAATGCGCAAAAAAATCTTATGATAAAACAAGAAGACGTCTTTTTGTTGTTATAAAAAACTGCTGGTTTTATTCTAGTTTCTGAATCAGGCTACACATTTTGACGTTTCGAACAACAGTCAATAGCTAGTGCCTTATATACGCTGGCACAAAATATGTACGCATCACAATCTACCTATTTTTCGCTGCATTTGTTTTAAACATAAAAAAATATATAAATTTTTTTAAGATCGTGATAATTACGGTAAATAATGAAAATACCCGTCTATTGGGTTTTTTCCCATATAAATACCCGGTTTTTTCCCAAATGGGAAAAAAACCTGGGTATACTCCCGTTGGGTTTTTTCCCACTGCCCATCTCTACTCCTATGTAATTCCTTGTTCTTATACTTGTT